ACGTCTACAACAACATCCACAACGTCAACGTCGACAACAACTTCGACAACAACCTCAACTTCGACAACAACATCCACAATATCAACTTCAACAACAACATCAACAACAACATCGAATAGTGAGTTATCAAAATAATTTAATAGTTATACAGACTGTCTTGAGAATGCGAGTGTAAGTGATATGTGAATTTCTCAAATACATCCTCAGCCTCACTCGGGTCTGTAATTTCACCAATTGCTCTTTTCGCCAACAGTGATTTCGTTATTCGTGAAATTCTTGGCGAAGTTCGTAAATTATACACACCACACTCACCAATCAAATGAGTTAGTAGTATAGATCTCAAGTTTCTTAAATTTCTTTTTATTTTGAGTGGTAGGAAAATAATTTAGGTTTTTATCTGATACAAATATTAGTTTTTAAATTTCAGTCGTCATTAGTCTTTTTTATTTGAGTCTGTAATCAATTTAATGTTATTAGTTCTATCATCAACATAACAATTTTGGTTAGGTCTTCTATCGGTCATGGAGGAAGTTGACTTGAAATAGTCCTTCATGCTAATCATACCTGAATCAAATAAGTGTGAGGGTTTGAGTGTCGGCAGACGTTCATTAGTTATTAAACCTGCACTCACATTTAAACCTATAGAGTAGCTAGTAGCCATTGTTAGTCTCGAAGATAACGTATCTGACATCTGACTAGACGGAAATTCTAATAGGTGTGAGTGTAAGTGAGGGTTTGATAACTAATGAATATATATATGTTCATCCACACTCGTATTTTTTCAACAAAAATATTGATATATGACAAAAGAGCTATTCAAATATGATCTCTTCCTAGAGCGAACAAGTAAGATCTGAAAGAAGATCATTTTTCATTGTATTTGCTCCTCCGAAGTATAATGTTTCAACAAACAGGTTTAGTCCGATTTGATAGAATTCGGGTGAAGCTAGTAGAGGGAGTTGCTGAAGTAGGGATTTCGGAACAGTTCTTGCGAAAGTTGTAAGCTGACGACATGCTACTGCAAAAGTTCTTAGATTAGAACTTCAATATAAACTGTAATCTATGGTGAAAACTGTTGCGTAGAAGGTTTATATAAGGGCTTCACATATAGAATAAGTCATTATCACATCTGAATCTTTTTTTCTAGTATGGGCAACTACTGGTGACATGAACAGTCCGCGAAGATATCACACTTCAACTACATTGACAAATGGAAATATCTTAGTAACTGGTGGAAATAATGGTATCGGTTACTTAATTAGTGCAGAAGTGTACGATTCATCTACAAGACTTTGGACACTTACTGGCAATATGAACACTGCACGAGGATTTCATACAGCATCCATATTGACAAATGGAAGTGTCTTAGTTGCTGGTGGATACAGTGGTAGTAGTTATTTAAATACTGCAGAAATATATAATCCAACAACAGGACTCTGGACACTTACTAGTAACATGAGTGCTGCACGAGACTATCACACACAAGTCACATTAGCAAATGGCAATATTTTAATAGCCGGTGGATACAATAGTGGTAGTGGTATCTTGAATAGCACAGAAATCTACATATCATCTACAGGACTGTGGACAACCACTGGCAAGTTAAATACTGCTCGAAGATATCATACCGTCTCTATACTAACAAATGGAAATGTCTTAGTTGCTGGTGGAGACAATGGTGGTAGTACTTTGAATAGTGCAGAAGTATACAATCTATCCACAGGATTATGGACATATATCGGCAATATGAGCACTGCACGAGAATATGACATACAAGTAACATTATCAAATGGAAATATCTTAGTTGCTGGCGGATACAATAGTCGTAGTGGTTATTTGAGTAGTGCAGAAGTGTGCAATTCATCCACAGGACTGTGGACAACTACCGGCAGCATGAATTTTATACGCAATCATCACTCAGCATCCTTATTGGTAAATGGAACTGTTTTAGTTGCTGGTGGATACGATGGCATTGATTACTTGACTAGTGCAGAAGTGTATGATCCATCGACAGGACTCTGGACAACTACTGGCGACATTTACATTGAACGAGATTATCACACAGCATCCACATTAACAACTGGGCAAGTATTACTTGTTGGCGGACAGAATGGTGATAGTGTTTTGAGCAGTACAGAATTATATGGATGATGATGATTGGAGTGCAAAGCTCTTGAATAAATTAAGACTTGAAATATAATAAAATATTTAATCTTCGAGTTTGTGAGTAGACTATTGTGCCATCTGCACAGTAATCATTCATTGTTTCTCTCTTCTTTCTTTCGTGTGTCATCAATTATCTCTTTTATCTGCTTTTCTCTTTCTCATCATTGATGTGTGTGTCGATCGTTTTCTTATGTACAATTCAACTAGTCAGTGTTTGTGAGATGTGTCGAGCGAACTTTTTTCAATTCTTTGTTTTCTTCTGTTCTGAATTATGATATAAAGGAAATTAAACTCCTCTATATATTTCATGACTCTTTTCTTTTTTAAGTTTAATACTTTGTTATCTTGTTTTGTTCGTTTTCTCTTTTTATTTTTCTATTTTTTTTTTGTAATGTCTAAATTCTGTACTACCAAGACTTAATGATTAACAGTTATTGCAAAATAAAAAAGACAAAGTATTTTCATTCTATTTTAAAGGCATCATTTGGGTGAGAGTATGAATGTGACTGTAGATACTGTATTCATTCTCTACTCACATTTACACCCCCATTCCCGTCAAGAGTCATTCAAAAGAATCCTCCTGTCTATTTAGCTCTGAAATGGGCAATACATTCGACACTTCATTTATTGACAAAAAATAGTGATGAATCATCTCTCTATATTACTAATCATAGTCAATGTTTGAAATGAAATAATCAAAATGGAAATAAACTTTACTCATCATGAAAACAAAAACTTTATTATTCATGTTGATATAGTGACATAGAAGATAAAGTATTGTGCGAAGAAAAGAATAAAAAAAACATGTGCGTGCGTGTGTGTGTGTGTACATGTTATTCACCTATGCAAAGAAAGAAATCGAGCTGTATTTAACCACTTGTGTAAAAAGAAAAAAAAAGTCACATTTCAGTCACTTTTTACAAGTTTTAAGTTTGAAGAAAAGCAGTTTGATAAAAAGAATAACGATATAAAAATGAGTTCTTCTCATCGTCTCAAAGGTCTTCTATCAATAACTGTTCTTAAAGCAAATAATTTAATTAAGGGTGATTGGCTTGGTGAAAATGATTGTTATGCTGTTCTGTCACTTGAACCGCTTCCACTTCAATCAATAGGAGACCTTAGAAACAAAGATCGACAAACAGAAATCGCGCAAATGACGCAGATTCATGATGGTTCAAATCCAGTTTTTAATGAAAAACTTATTTTTCCTGTTGCTGATAAATTAGATATGTTATATGTTCAATTATGGGATGCTGATCCAGGCAAAGATGATCTTTTAGGACATGGAACATTGAGTTTACTTGATGATGATCAAGGTGGTCAATTTGATACAAATACAAAAAAAGAATGGCTTTATACAACAACAATTTCTTTAACTACTGAAAAAGGTAAACAAGGTGGAACAGTGGAAATTGTGCTTCATTTTATTCCTGAAACAGTTGCTGCTTATATGGAAAAAAGATTCGATGCTGCTCAAGCAGAATTGAAAAAGAAATTAACACAGCAAATAGTGGCAAAAGTGACCGGTACGGCTTCGAGCCAAATTCAAGGTTTTATGGGCATTGGCAATTAAAATTTTGATATGAACTTTCTGCTTTTGATTGATGTAGTTGTTCTTTCAGTACTAAATAAAATATATATTTCCTGATTATAAAAACAAGAATGAATATAATGTAAAAATACTTTAGTCATCCACATACTCAAGATGGTATTCTCTGTAAGAAAGAAAATATAAAATAATTTATTTTTGTTCTTTTTTCATACGAAAGGTATGGGTGTGGATATATTAGAAACATGCATCAAAATTTTGTTTCTGGAAGCGTCTTAAACATATTACATTGTTTATTTAGGCAATCACTAGAAAAACTAATTAATAATAAAAAATAGTTTGCATATTTGATAAAGTGATACTTTGACAATGGATTTTGTTTTAATCAAATAAAGAAGTTCTATAAATATGATTGAAATTTCGTTTCATTGTATGCTCTGCTTTAAATTGCTACTCTTGTTTTATGATCAAATGAAAAAAGAAAATCATATTATATGAAGGATTCGTCTGTCATTCTTTTTGTGAGATAAAATCATGCAATTAGGTCGTATCTCACTACAATCACGGCAGCCTCCGGCTTGGCGTATAAGCCGTACTAATCTGGATAATACAGCAACATATACTCTACCTGTTAGGCAATCCGTCGATAGTCGTGGCTATCAACATATTCCGTTGCGTAAGAATATTCCTCAACGGGTTTCTCGTGTCTCACTTTCTGAAAGGCAATCTCAAGCTTATCGATCATCTGTTCATAATCCATGGGTTTCTAATGCAAACAATCAGCATAGTCCTTCAGTGAGTGATTTTTAATTTTAGATTAAGATACTCTATATTTAACCTTGGTTTTTCGCTAGTCGCTAACATCTGAATCACCACCATTGCGGGATAATTTTGGATCTTTGTTTCACAAGCACAATGATTCTAGCAAGACAAGAAATCGACAAAAAAAGAATCGTCTTCGAAAAGCTTTTCTACTTATATGTGGTTGTCTTGTACTTCCATTTTTACTAGCGCTTCTACTCGCTTTACTTTTTGGATTCCTTTATCGTACGTATAGATTGCTTCTTTGATTGAAATATTTGATATGACATGATCTGTACTAATACACAGATCCACAGTCTTCCAAAACAACCATTGGTGTAACTTTTACCACTACAACATCAACAACATCAACAACATCGAGTAAGTATCTTAAGGTTGTCACAGTCAATGATCTTTTCTTCTTCTTCTTCTGTTTAGTAACAACTAGTACAACAACTGTGACTACGACGACAACATCAGCGAGTACGACGACTACAACAGGTGATTATCAAAATGTATTATCATTACTATACGTTATTCATTTTATTTTTTACTTTTCAGTAACAGAAACAACGACGACGAGTACCAGTACAGCTACGAGTAAGAAAATAAATTAAAAAATTTATGAAGAATTCATTTTTCTTTATTTTAGCTACAAGTACAACAAGCAGTAAGTTTCTTACATTGATAATATTGTCTAGTAAATAAAAATTTAACTTCTTTTTTTTAGCGACAAGTACTACAAGTAAGTTCCTTTTTAGATTTAAATATTGTGTAATATCATTATGTCAAGGTACAACAACCACAACAACATCTTCATCAACAAGTAAACTCCTATTTTGATAGAAAGTTTTTTTTCGAAAAACAATTGAGAACGTGAGAGAATATTTCGTGTCGTTAGGCAATCCTATCGGAATACATATTTCACTTGAGAAAAATTTGCATTTACAGATGCAGCTTATATTTGCTAATGATGGCACTTTCATTATTTCTTTTTTTTTCATTGACTACAGCTACAACAACAACAACATCGACGACAACGATGACAACAACAACAGGTAAGCACTATTGTTCGTATATTTCTTCAAACAAACGTATTTTTGTTTTTATTATGCCTATTAGCATTTAACTGTGCGTCCACTATGACTTCAACTTTACAGTCATGGACAGACTCCGGTTGTTCAAAAGACAATTGGTGTACATACTCAAAGAGCTTTATCGCATCATATACTGGTATACGTACACTCGTATTTTCCTTCGCTAATATCTTTCATGCGAATATGTACTTAACCAATATCAAAGTAGATGATGCTAGCAATGCTCAATTACTTAACAATGGAGATTTTTCTGCATCATCTGGATCAACACCAACAAACTGGCTTAAATGTGGTGATTCCGGACTAGTTGATTCTACATGTAATGTGGCTACTTCTATTGCATGTTATAACAACACAGCTACTGGTGGCTCAATTTCGCAGTCGTTCTCAGTCGTATCTGGTACAAATTATACCGTTCAATTTGATGTCTATTATCATTCTACAAATGGGAATAGTGGTGGATTTACTTTAAATGTTGCTGCTATCTGATTGATATCACTATTATGATTTTAAAATAAACATACAGTTAATAAATCTTTTTAGTTTGAATGATTATTTGTACTCCTATATTCATCATTTTTCTTCAATATACATTATAATTATCACTAAAAATTTCGAGCAAATATCTGATTAGATAAAATAAATGAGTACATTAGTAGCAACTGTCGGGAAATTTATTTTAATCAAATTTCTATTTGAAAAAAATCAAAAATAATTTCAATCATTTGCTGTAATATTCTTCAATATTAAGCAACAGGACTGACCAATTGTTGAACAATAATGGCTACGTCAACAAAAAGCTGGGTAGTACCAAGATATTGTTGAAGTTGTGCTAATAATTGAGTGGCAGCGGCTTCAGGTTTAAGACTACCATTCATAACATTTGAAGCAAGTTGAAGTGTAAGATTTTCAAGTGCTTTCAATTGGGGTTGTGTAAGAGCAGCAATAACTTTGTCAGCAAGAGCGGCAAGTGATGCAACTGCGCTCTAAATAGAAAAGAAAATTAATGTTGAAAAGAAGTTAATAATTGACTGTACTGAGTATTGTGGATGTTGAGCAACAATAGCTTCTAAATCACTGATTTGTAATTGTTTGCCTAGTGCTGAACGTGTGCCAAGACCTGAAAGTAAATTTGGTTGGATTGTAAGAAGAGCACTGCCTAATTGTTGAATAGCGTTGGTTACAGCATTAAGAAGTTGGTTATTTGAACCAAGTTGTTGTTGAAGTTGTGCTAATAATTGAGCAGCAGCGACTTGAGGTTTAACACTACCGTTCATAACACTTGGAGCAAGTTGAAGAGCTTGTTGTACAAGTGCTTGTAATTGAGATGATGAGAGAGCATTAGCAACTTGACCAGAAAGATTATGCATTAAATCATTCAAAGCCTATAGAAAAAAATATGATAATTGAACATACAAATACATAGATGAAGATATTTTACAGTTTGTGAACCAAGTTGATTAATAACTGCATTTAAATCATTCATACCATTGAAGATTGGATTGCTTTGTACGAAAGCAATAACGACGAAAAAAAGAGCACATCCAATTGAAAGACGCATGTTAGAAGATACTTCGTTTGAAAATTGACTGAAGAATTGACCGATTTTCCATGGTTTTTATATTCTTGTTTCATGTAGGATTTAATCGAAAATCAGGTGATATTTAACAATTATCACGTGTTGTGTTTTAATTGAATCTAATACTGTCCTTGGGTAGTCGGATAGAATTACAAAAACAATCGACAATCAATGAAAAACAAATTTGGATTAAACGAGCTTAGATATAGAATCAATTAAAAAGAAAAAATCACATGTACATGGTGAGCTTTAGTTTATGATTATTTTGTTCTCATCTATGGATGCTAATTTTACAATAGTAGCGAGATAGATTCTTGTTGATCATTTCTCTTATATGGAAATTTATTATTTGTGGGTTTATTTAGATATATTCTACTGCAACAGGTTCAAATTTAAACAACGATAATGATTTAACTGGAATATATGTGACCATGATATGCCTTTACGAATACGAAATAGTCAATTGTTATGTATTTCTTCTTTCTAGATTCTTTTTACATACATTATCTATGACAATCAATCGAGATAAGGGTATAACAATATTTACTCAGATATATTTTAATGAAAGCAAAGAAAATATATAATTGATATTCAAAAAAATGATACAGAGACAGAATTCCTATCAAAAACAGGTCGAACTGAAACTGCACATTAATTACATTTTCCAGGCGGTTTTGAAATTGGCATATTGTTGTATCACTCATGTATTTCTATCTTAATATAATGAATATTAATGTATCTTGTACTTATTTGTATTACTAATTTATTTCTTTACATTATTTTATTTTTGATGAACTTATTTTCTTTCACAAAAATTCTCTAATTTCTTGGATACTTTCTTTTTTAAATATTTTTATTATTTCTGTATTAAATGATTTAGATTGAATTGAGTTTAGAATAGAGAGTGTGGGTGTGAGTAAATAAAATATGAATCCACACCCGCCCACGCCGACGCACGCCCATCTCTAGAAGATATTTTTTTTTATTCTGTTGACTACAAATCCCAGCAATCTTAACCGACAACTATTTTTTAAATCTTTGAATGTAATATCGGAATCATCCATCAAACATTGCATCGAAATCTGATAATTAGTGTTACTTTGACGTTCGCATCCGTTCGTTATTTTTATGAGAATTTTGACAAGTACTATATTCCAATTCATCATATCGACTCCTACAACATTATACAAATTTTCATATTACTCTAAAAACAAGATTTTTATTCCATTTATCTATAAGATATTGAATCAAAGAAGTTTCATACACGTATATTTTTACTTCTCTTGCAAGATACCAGTATCAATTGTATTCCTTGTTGTTACTCAATTATATTACACTACAGACAGAAAAAAAATATATGATTATTTCCTGATTCTATATTACATCTTTTACTGGTATTGTCTAATATACGTCATATAAATATGAGATCTAACCGACGATCTATAAGATAAATATCAAAAAAATACTATGTTTTCTGACTTATGACTCATTTGATATCTATTATTTAATAAATAAAAATTATTTTAACTTTAAATTAAAGACTTTCGGGCATTTTCTACTATAGTTTTTATATAATTTAGATGAAATATACAACTTTTCTTTTTATTATTTTTTTTATTGAAAAAAAACAAAGTGTTAATATGTACCATATATACATATATGTATTTTTTTTCTGTTATTTCTTGTTGATGATAAGAGTTTTTGTATTGAAACAAAGATTTGTTAAAAACATCTTATTTTCTTTTATAGAAGAATTATTTCTATTGTATTATTATTATTTATCTGAAGCAGAAAAAACCGTTACCAATATCTATAGAAGAAAATAAAAAAAAGTGAGAAATGAGAATATAAACTAAAAAGAAAAAGTACGTTACTTACTTATTTATGAGCATTTTCTGAGTTATAAACTGATGTTTATCATGAAAGATAAAAGCACATGAACGTTCAAATAACTACCAACAACTGTGAATAATCAATTCTATTTGAACGTCTTAAAAAGAAGATCATTAATTATTGTTACGCCTTTATAGAAACAATTTTGACGATATTTATAAAAATAAAAATATCCAAGATATATAAATTAATATTAGAAGATAATATTCTTCTAATAGATAAAAAAAGACTCTTAAGAAAAGTCATTTATGGTTGACAAATTATAAAGATAATTTTGTTTGAAAGGAAAATTTTTTTCTGACTAATAGCGTAGTGGAGAAAAAAAACAGATGGTTGTCGAACAATCAATTTGTTTTAAAAAAAAAAATATTTTCCTTAGAGACGATGTTTTTTCTATAATATATAATATTTTTCTTTTCATTGAAGTTTCTTTTTTTCAGCAGAGAGTAAGTTTTCTTAAAATTTTTTTTTGAACAAAATGATCTGTTTTCTAAATGAATTTTGATAGGACTATTCAAATCCCTATTGTATTTTTTTATTTAATTTATGTGAAAGATGAATTGTGTATTTCTTTTTCTTATATTTTATCAAAAAAAGTAAACTCGATTTCATTGTAATGTAAGATCCTAATCATATTTTGAAATACGAAATGTACATTGACACATAGAATCGATATTTCTCAGTTAGATTATTTTTCGAACAGAAAAAAAGAATTGTTTGTATATAGATAGTAATATATTTAATTAAATATAATATGAAAAGAATAGATAAAAGAAATTTAGATTATTTTACTTTTATAAATATAGTCATTTCAAAGCTGAAATAGTTCTGCTAATATTGATTAGATCGTTAGATTTAGATACATTTTTTTGAACATTAAAAACATTCAGAGAAGAAAAAAAATGACATTTCTGATGACGAAGCGGATATTATTTTTGATGTATTTCACTTTCACTTATTAATATGCAAAGTTTCATAAAAAATTATTAAATCAAATTGATTAAAAATCAAATACATTAAAAATGATGTCCGTTTCATCATTTTTTTACTGCTTGGGTGATGTGTGTGAACATAATTTTCTTTTCTCTCTTATTCTTATGAGTCGAAATGGTTCGACATACATCTCAAATATATTTTTACTCCAATGAATATATGGATGTTGTTGCTAATACATTTGATATATTTTGTTTTAACAATTAAAATGTCAAAAACGTCGATATTTAAAGTTTCTTTCGTGACACATTATTGAATATAAATAGGAGCACTATTCTAAATTATTTCCGTATCTATTATTTATAAAAGACCATGCTTTTTCTTTTCTATTAACTCATTTTCCAATAAACAATTCTTTCGATAGAAAGTAAATGATATATAGTAGTAGACAGTTGTTCAATTTATTTATTCTTTTTACAGAATCTAATTAGATAGTTAAACTAGTGAGTAATATTATCCTATCTTATTTCTTTTTAAATGCATTTGTGTTGTGAATAAGTTTCCTTTTGTTTTTTTGAATAGAATAAATTCAAAACTGGACTAAATGTGTTTATTTCTACTGCTAATGATAAATCAATATTTAATATAAATGTGAAAGTTAGAGAGCAATCACCTTAATTCTTAGATATTGTTTTGTTTCATTAAACTCATTTTTATTGGATAAGTATAATCTAGTATATTTGTCATTATTACGAGTAACTATTTAGTTTTTTATGTTGTTTTATTGAAAATAACGAGACTAGACATAAATAACTCTCGTAACTAATCTTTTTATTTTTAGAAAAAAAGTTTTATCCTCCAAAATAAAGACTTTCAATCGTTTTTGTTTGCCGCCGGTAATAAGCATTTAATCAGGTAAGAAATATTTAAATTAGTTTTGTAATGTATATATCAAATGTCGTAGGAAAGATGAGTTTTAATAGAAATAAATAGTATAATATTTTTATCAATAGACAATTAAATACAAGCCATTTTTCATGATTAAAGATAATTGAAATATAGGATAATAGTATATATCTATGTCAATTCTAATAATTAAATCGTTTTGTTTAATAGTGATTGTTAAGAAAATTTTCAAGATATCCTGTACGCACAGATATATGACGGTATATATAAATATAGAGATTTTTAATCTATGAATTCTTCTAGAATATTATTCAAGCTAACATGAGTGACATCGTAAAAATACAACTTTCATCGCCTAATCAACATCAAACTGTATCAAAACCTGATATTTATTGGATTCCTGAGACACATAATCGATTGTAAGTATTACATTCCTCTTACTAAAAAATAATTTTCAAGAGAAATTAATTAACTATTTGTTTTTAAAAGGAGTAAGCGCGTTAAAATTTTGATTGGTGTCTGCGCAGTGATTGGCATAATTATATTCCTTCTCGGACTACTTTTACCAACACTTCTTACTAAAGGTAAATCAACATCCTTTCCTACTACTGCCACCACTATAACGACAACCACTCAAACTACATCAACCTCTACAACGTCAACTTCAACAACAGCGACAACCTCAACCTCTACCACATCCACGTCCACTACCTCGAGTACAGCAACAACCTCAACCTCTACGACATCGACATCCACAACTTCAACTACAACATCCACGACATCAACATCAACAACAACTTCGACTACAACAACATCCACAACCTCAACCTCTACGACTTCAACATCCACGACCTCGACTTCAACAACAACATCAACAACCTCAACATCAACAACAACTTCGACCACAACAACGTCCACAACATCAACCTCTACGACTTCAACATCCACAACGTCGACTTCAACAACAACATCAACAACCTCAACGTCAACAACAACTTCGACCACTACAACATCTACATCCACGACCTCAACCTCGACAACCTCGACATCCACAACCTCGACTTCAACAACTACCTCAACTTCGACAACCTCAACGTCAACGACAACTTCGACCACTACAACATCTACATCCACCACCTCAACTTCTACGACTTCGACATCCACGACCTCGACTTCAACAACTACCTCAACTTCGACAACCACAACGTCAACAACAACAGCAAACAGTGAGTTACCGGAATAGTTTAATAATAATAGAGAACGCCTTGAAGGTGGAGGTGTGTGTATGTTCATTAGTTATCAAACCCACACCTTAATCAAGAGAGCTCTCCAGAAAGTTTGTCGAAATATTAATAGAGAAAATTGTTGAAAGAGTTGCTGAAGTCGGTTTGGAAACAGTTTCTGAGAAATTTGCTAGCTTGGTAAAAAGTATTCTAATCAAAATCGAACTATTTAGACATATGAAAAATATAATCGACTACAAACATATCAGCTGTTTCTTGGCAAAGTTATCGTTGAAATGCTAGGGAAACATTGTTAGATTAAAATATTATTACAGACTGTAATTTATGATGAAAATTATTCCGCAGAAAGTTCATATAAGAGTTTTACATGTAAACTAGATCAGGGGAGCCATATTATCTATTACCACTGCTTCCACTTACCAAGATAACAGTAAGTGCTTTTATAATTGAAAAATGAAATAGATAAATAAATACTATCAAAACGAGTTTGTTGCACCTTTATTGATATACGTTTTATTTTTTTTACTTATTCTCTTATATTATTATTAATATATCTCCTTATAGTATCAAAGGTATAGGATCGAGTATATAACTTAGAACCTGAGATTGAGATTTGCTTAAAACAAGTATAATTAAGTCATATATATCCTAGTTACTTAAAAGGATCACTTATCATTTACTAGTGATAGTAACGCGAATGTGACACCCCTGCACTAGATGATTACAATATCTGAATGTTTCGTTCTAGTATGGGCAACTACTGGCGATATGAATAGTCCACGAAGATATCACACTTCAACTACATTGACGAATGGAAATGTCTTAACTGTTGGTGGTAACAATGGTGTTGGTTACTTGATTAGTGCAGAAGTGTATAATTCATCCACAGGACTTTGGACACTTACTGGTAATATGAACACTGCACGAGGATATCATACAGCATCCATATTGACAAATGGAAGTGTCTTGATTGCTGGTGGTTACAGTGGTAGTACTTATTTAAATAGTGCAGAAATCTATAATCCATCAACAGGACTCTGGACACTTACTAGTAACATGACTGCTGCACGAGAATATCACACACAAGTCACATTAGCAAATGGCAATATTTTAGTAGCCGGTGGATACAATAGTGGTAGTGGTACCTTGATTAGTGCAGAAATCTACAATCCATCTACAGGCGTGTGGACAACTACTGGCAATTTAAATACTGCTCGAAGATATCACACCGTCTCTATACTAACAAATGGAAATGTCTTAGTTGCTGGTGGAGACAACGGTGCCACTACGCTGAGTAGTGCAGAAGTATACAATACATCCACAGGATCATGGACATATACCGGCAGTATGAGTACTGCACGAGAATATTATATGCAAATAACATTAGCAAATGGAAATGTCCTAATTGAGGGTGGATATAAAACTGGTAGTGGTTATTTAAGTAGTGCAGAAGTGTGCAATTCATCCACAGGACTGTGGACAACTACTAGCAGCATGAATTTTGTACGCAATCATCACTCAGCATCTTTATTGATAAATGGAACTGTTTTAGTTGCTGGTGGATACGATGGCATTGATTACTTGACTAGTGCAGAAGTGTATGATCCATCGACAGGACTCTGGACAACTACTGGCGACTTTAGCATTGCACGAGCATATCATACAGCATCCACATTGACAACTGGGCAAGTATTACTTGTTGGTGGACAGAATGGTGATAGTGTTTTGAGCAGTGCAGAATTATATGGATGATTGGAATGAAATATTTTTGAGTAAACTCAGACTTGAAATATAATAAAATATCTAATCTTCGATGTTGTGAAAACAGTATTATGTTATCTATATAAAATTTAATCATTGCTTTTCTGTTCTCTCTTTTGTGCGTTTCTAATTGTTACTGTTATCTGCTTTTCTGTCTCTCATTATTGATATGCGTATCGATCGTTTTCTTCTGAACGATTCTCTTTTAATGCATTTCTCTCGTTACTTTTTTTTCTGCTATACATTTTTTTGAGCTCGTTCGCTTTTTCTTAGTTGAGGAGATATGATTATATGTGAATCAGAGACCGAATACTTGAGTTCATTGAAGCATTGTAGTTCTTTTTTTGCTGATCATCGACGTAATCAGCTTAATCACGTTTACTTCACTTGTATAAAGCGAGTTTTATTTTGTTTAGAATGAAATAATTCTCTCTCTCTTCATGTGTGTTTGATGCGTTGTCGCTTGGGAATAGATGTTTTCGTTACTTGAATAATTATCTTGTAGCATTAACAAAGTCGACTGATGATGAAATGCTTTTCGAACGTGTATCGTTAAAGATGTTTTGATAGTCGTATATATCGAGAGATTTCTTTATTGAATATTTAGAATCAGCCAGTATTTGTGAGATATTTCGAGTGAACTTTTTTCAATTCTTCTTTTTCTTCTGTTCCGAATTATGATATGAAAGAAATTAAACTCCTCCATATATTCTCTGATTATTTTCTTTGAATTTAATGCTTTGTTATGTTGTTTTGTTCGTTTTTTCTCTTTGGTTTTTATTTTTATTTTTCTATTTTTTTTTTGTAATGTCTAAATTCTGTACTGCCAAGACTTAATGATCGACAGTTATTGCAAAATAAAAAGAACAAAGTAATTTAGTTAATGTTGAAGTACATTGAAGAATATCTTTTAATGAAAGATGTTGTGAGAGTGAGAGTGGGTGTGGGTGGAGATGTTGATCTGAATCACACACTCATTCACTTGTACGATGTTCCTGTATAAGTAAGAAAACATATGATCAACAAAAGAATCAAATGATTTAAGTTATAAAAATCCAATTATGAATCATACTATTTATTAAGAGAAAAGTAACAAAGCATATAACAATATATTTTTAGGATTGTAAAAACTGGTGTCAATGTAAAACATATATTTGAAGTGAATATTAGGCATGTATTAATAATCGGCAAAGAAATAAAAGAAAAACTTTAATCAAATCATCTGTAAAATAATAGTAATCGATAATTCACAAGAACAAAATTTATCCAAGTACATTATAATAGAGTGTTGGATTTTATTTCCGAAAATCAAAATAAATTATAACATGTTAATAGTTCATTGTGTTTTTAGTATTTCAAGAAGTGCTTCTATAGTTATTGCTTACTTGATGAGTAGACATTAGATGAATTACGATCAATCTTTTTCTTATGTCAAAACAAAATGAGCAATCATACGTCGGCACGCAAATTTTATTGAACAGTTAAGAACCCACATTCACACCCACACCCTCCAACACTCTTTTTCTAATCATTCGATGCATTATGAAAAGAACGATTTAGTAAATGAGACATAGTTCAACAGCAAAGATATTTCTTGTTTATTATTTAAAAAAAATGAAGAAGTCTTAATTATTATTAGTGAAAATGATGGATATGCACAATCGATGGTATTGGTGATGGATGCGGATTCTGACGAATATAAGCATTCAATTCTTCCTTTGCATCACTGAATGAAAACGCTCCACCAACAGTATTCCCATAGGAATCTGGCTCAGTAGTGTATTTATATCCTGCTTTAGCCACTTCAAGTTGTGTATCTTCAAACGAAATCAACTTCAATAAATAAGCCATTTGAGCTGCTGATATGCGTTGAGCTGTTTGGACCGTTGTTTTAATTGCACTGGCTTTGTCGTCATCAAAACTTTCGCTCTTTACCCGGTTCACTAAGCTTTTGAAGGTGTTTGAATCCATTACAACCTATTAAAAATACAAGTAGCAAAGATGTCAAACATCAGTATTCATACATACGAAATGAGTTTTTGATTGATCAAGTTGCAAAACACTCTTGAATGATGAGCGGTGAAAATGAAAGGTAACTGCATTTCTACCGCTTTTTATACTCAACCGTTTGTTTGCACAAAATTTGCAGATCACTAAGCAAAATGGATTAAATAACTGAAACTATAGCGGTTAGTAATCAATATTGACATGGTAAATATTAATGTTGGGAGAAATCGCAGAAGAAACTGCGGAAGTAGGGTGAATCACATATGCATACATTATTCATCTTATGATATGGCGCGAGTGATGATATTGATATTCATAGGAAGAATAAAACATTCGAAAGGTAACTGGAGTATATTATATTTCAATGGGATTTTTTTACATAATGATTCATATTTTTTGATTTTAACAAATAGACGATATGCATATTTTTATACGACAGTGATGTCAATATACCTTCAAAAACTTTAAAACCAATCCATGATATGTTGAGTACAGCCTCATCAGTCGCTTAATTTTGGTGTAAGTTCGAACTGCTATATCTTCAAAGATAAATTTATAAACGAATAACACAAAATGTGTCGACGAAAGCAAAACTCTACATTTATTTTAACATATCAATCGATTGATAGTATGCGGCAGTTCATAATTTCTATTATATCATTTTCTAAATCATATTGCATTGTTTGCTATCTAATGATCATCTTATCTGATGTGAAATCACAGCAATTATGGTAGCTGCTCTCCGATTCACACTCAAGATTTATTTAACTATGAGAACTGAATTCTTGTCTCTTATACAGATATAACATATCGTTTAAAAACATAAATATAACTGTAGTTTCCTTTCTTTTCTGCAAAATTGTGCCATCCAAAAGTATTTCTATTGAATTTTCTGCCAAAGAAACGTCAAAATGAGCTAGACAAAAAATATGAGTTTTCGTCAAAAGGTGTGGGGGCGAATGATTAAGACAATATAGCTACCCACCCACTCTAGTGCGAACCGCCACGTGCCACTATGATAGTAATTCTGTTAATAATTTTATTTGTTCTGATTACAACGGCAAAAATGCTGATGATCACGATCACGAAAATTACGAAAACGATGTTCAAAAATACGATCACCAAACCGATGAACATCATAATGATAACGACATGTCGCACCTTGGACACGTTGCCAATTCTTTCGATTGTATGTACCATTACTAATCTCACTGTCCAAAATACCACTATAGTGCCAATCACGACACCTCTTACAATCAGGACAACGACGACCGCCACAAACAAGGGCGAATCTTTGGTGTTGATGAGATTCTAAATAAAATAATACGATATTTTATAATAATTGAGAAAAGCTTATTAGGCGCCCTACAACGATTCATTAAAAATTTCGATTTAAATATGAATTCAACATATAAAATGTTTACGTTATGACTGATATAATTCTTTTTACATAATGGATATTATTTAAGCTTCTATTCGTGATTTTGTGCTTTCCATAATAAAAACTAAAGTATGCTCATAAGTTTGCGAGTATGACTACGATTCATCCTCTCAAAGAGACTGATGATCGTATTATTAATTGTGCTCCTGTTGGTTGTTTTGTTTCTTCCATAATAAGTTAAAATGGCGACGTAGACTATTTCGTCAAACAAAAAAAAGTAAAATTAATCTATTCTCAGTATTTTTCTATAGCTACATCCGTTTTCAGTCATACTGAAACTGCTGCCATTTAAAAATAAATCTAATACTTACTGAATATACTTTTGTTTACGGATTCTGGCAATATAGATATCGTAGACATAGCTGATGCTAATTGTTCATCGCTATCTTCACTTACTTCTACCAAATGTACAACGTTTACACCACCAGGATGATCTAGTGCATCAGAAACGACACGTAGTTGAGTTCCCGGACCCAACAATACTTCATCTTCATTAGGATACTTCGTATAACCAGTAACATGCTTACCATGTACGGCTTCGATTAAGATCAAAGTCATTGTTGTTTCCGAAGCTAAAAAGTGCATGATGGTATGCATCGACAGTGAACATGAAGTGATACTCCACCATGTTAACTCGTCATTTTTATTAAAATATTGGCTAATGTCACCTATTACTCCTCGCCAAATATTTTTCTTCACAGTTGGTAATTTGGTAAGTGCAGTGTCGAATAGTTTTAGATAGGGAAACCAGGGTTTTACAACGGATCGATCTTCAGATCGCAGTACTTGGTTCAGCACTCGGTGCAAACTATTATCACCTTCTTCCATTGTGTACAAAAAAATAGCTGCCGATTCATCATGAGTAAGACCATGTTCTGATGGAAAATGGCAATCTTTTTTGGCAGTTTCGATGGAATGTTCTAACTCGTCGGTGCGAGGTTCAATAAATTTCAAACTGTCTTCGAGTGAAATGAGTTTTTCATTCCAATAACCACATATAGGCGAAAGTTTCTTATTATGAAACTCAACATCAACAAATCGACTTGTTGAATGCGGCGTATCGTCTGTCATGCAAGATTTTGCTAAAGCTATAATATATGAAAATATTATTGCGTTTGTCGTTGAATGTGATAATGCGCAATCACATAATATTCTTATTGTAATGACTAACGTTTCTTTTTTGCTTTATGCAATAAAAATGTGAGGACAACTAACATGGATGATAGAACACATATTCTTCGTTCGTATAAATATGTATCTGCACATAATTACATCACTAGTTATACATAAGTGCACGTGCTATTGTTATAGTATCATTCACTTTTATATTTTCTTTCTTTCTATTCTGTCGTACATATATGTAATTTTTTCTTCTTTTCATGACGTTCAAGGAATTATCCGGATCATTCTGATTTATTATTTTCAAAATGAAGAAACTGGATGGTTTCGCTTTTATAAAAAAGTAAATAACTGATCTTATTATTACATCGGACGCATATAAATGTATTTTCATCAATCGAGAGGATTTTTAATGAATAATTCAATAAAAGAAAAGAAAAAATTAATTAAAAACAACAACATATAACTAAGAGGGTCTAAAATCATACGACATCTATTTGTTTTTACATAAATTCTAAATTCGAAGCAGTAGATATATGAATCTCAGGGGCTATTTGATTCTGGTTAGCACAACACCAATTTTTCCATCTGTGCCATATTTTTTTTCTTAACACAGATTTCACTTGACGACGATATCGTGGTGAGATTATTATATAAAGATAAAAACTAATCTATAATAAAAATCAAACTCATTCAATTCAAATAATATAACAAAGAAAGGATTTACCCCATATTGTGCATTCGTTAACGAACCAGCTAACACTTGAATCAATTGGCCAATGGTATATTGTAACGAATTTGTTTGAATAAAATAAGTATTAATAAGATAGATTCGATAACAACAATGGGGTAATATCAAACATACGAAAAAAACAACTCGAATTAAGACCATTGCAGTTATTTGACGATCAAATCGACGGCGTTCTATTGGAATTTGTCGACGAACAATTCGACGAACATTTTTATAAGCTAGCAAACTAAATGATGATGCGAATATAATTGGTAAAAAGCCTAACAAAAATGGATAGAAGAAAAATGTTGTATATCTAATCCATATGACATTCCATATAATACATCCTGCTGAGGGATGTATACTGTAAAAAAAGGCAAATAAAAGACTGTGAAGAAACCATATAGGAATTAACAAAAATACAAGACATCGAGCTAATTTAAATGTAAGCAATTGCCGAAGATATAGTTGATGACTTGTTGAAAAAAATTGATCAATAGCTGCCAAACATACCATACTGTATGATATAAGTATAGTCGTTCCCAGTACAATAGTTCGTATTCTACACCATATGAGTGAAGTAGTTGGTAAATCACTTTGATAAACTGATGCAGAGATATCCAAACTGAGAGAAAGACTTCGATTAACAAAAATTGAAATTATTTCAATTATTAAATAAAAAGTACATCGCTGATCTCGAAAGCATTTAAGATAAACGAAGGCAAGAAGATTTAAAAGATTACCAATAAATCCAAAAGCAAATGTTATACAATCACTATATAAAGCATATTTAGGAATAATTTCTAGTATTATTAATGATGCCATGAAAACGAGAATTATATCTATGCTAAAACAATATTGTTTCTTTTTTATGTTCTGACAGAATATGCGTTCATCTTTTTATTCATTAAGCATTTGTTATTCAAACGCGTAAAGCGTAAATAAATATCTAAAAGCGGTACTACTAATGAGGTGATGGTAGAAAGAGAAACAATTAAAATTATTTTTCATCAACTACTGTTATTTATCTATAAGACAAGTAGTTTAAGATGGTTAAATAATGAGAAAAATCATAAAAAGTATCGACATTCATAGTAATCCGAAATAAAATAATAATTATGGATTTAATTTAGGTTATTTTAAATAAAAAATTTCCAACTGTTATAGAAAGTTATTATAGATGTCATGCGTAATAAATAAATGAGAAAAGGTTAAATCAGATCAAAAATATATTCCAGAAATATCTACATTTAAACTACTGGTTTATTAATTTTGCAGGTAACTACCTATATTGCTGGTTGCTGCCTTGTCATGTAATTATTGCCATTATAATGAAAAATAATAGCTATAAATACATGATAATGCAGCTGACGGCAGCTGCATGGTTATGAAGATCGAGATATTTTCCGAAAAAAGTGTGACCTATGTTGATGTCATTAATTAAAAATTTCTAGTCTGAGAATAATTATCAAAATTTTCAAAGTAGCTTTTGATCTGAATAGAATTGTTATAGTTTCAGGAAACATGACTTTTTTTATAAAAGAGATTTTTAATTTAAATAGAATTTAGAATTAAATGTAATAAATCATGAACGTTTATTTTTCAAATGTAGTGAAACAGATGATAATTATAATATTGTTGTTATTGCTGTGTGAATGTGGGTGGATGTCAATGTGCATAGTTATATACTTCCATACCCGATTAAGTACGTCATATAAGGAACAATCGTCAAGCATTTATTCATAATAAGAAGAACAGAAAATGGAAAGAATTGATTTAGTTTTTTGTTGATTGAGGATGTTCTAATAAACCACGATGTACGATGGATATCGTGTTTCCTTCTTGGATGTTGTATTCACTTACTTTCTTCCAATCAGCAATTTTATGACCTGCAAAAATTAATCTTTGGGCGTCAGGCTCTATTCCTGTCTTTTCTTGAATCTTGGCCTTAACACTATCAAAAACATCGGACGATTCGATTTCAATGCTGATGGTATTGCGATCGAGATTCATCACCAAGACGCGCATTTCTTCGAGAAGTAATAGTGCAGATGAATTGAGTCGTTTTTTTTTCTTTGCGTGTGCTGACTAATGATTCAGTCAAGTTACCTATTGACAACAAACCTTCATCTTACTTGACGACAGAAAGGAGAAAAGAGAAAAAGCCAACATCAAATGAAAGGGTAGACTTGTTTTGGATTCTTCCAACTTTCATGTTTGTCAAAGGTGAGGTAAAAAGGAGAAGAGGGTGTGAATTTAGTTGGAAAAAAAACATAGAATAATCACCCACACTCATACTCTCAAGATTATCTAATATTATCAACTAGGAGAAGGCTTTTTTATCAATGAAAATCTAAATAAAGAAATTGTGGTTGAATAGAACCGATTATCTACTATTCAATTTTGATTAAAACGAAATAGTGTCCGATGAATTCCTCGTAGTAGAAGCGTCATGGCAAAAAATTATGAACTAATTCTTTTGAAATAATCTGTGTGATTCTTTGCTATTACACGGAATCAACACAATGTAGACATAATAACACGGTATTATTATTTTCGTCTATTAATCAATTACTTGAAGACGTCGATAATAATAATAATGATAAAATCGATTCATATATTTATATATCAAATGCTATGTACTAGAGATAATCAGAGAAATACTAGAAGTATTTTCAAATACAGCTAATCGATCTTTCAATGAATTCTTTTAAATTCAATGATGTTATCTATAGAATAATTCTATGAGACACGCAGATGACAATAATAACAGAAAAGAAAAGATTTGATTAGTGCATGTCGTCAATCTGAGCTCCAATGAGGATGAAAAAATTGTCTTATCTCATATGCAGCCTTGATTAGCGGTATGCATCAAATAAATTTTTTTCTTTCCTGTCACTGCTATCCTATACGATAAACATTCTCCATATATCGATTAATAAACGGTTAATATCGTGTAAAGGTATTTTACCATAATACAGAGAGAGAAAGAGAAAATAAATCTATTGGGTGTCCGTTGAACTGACCTCTACTTATTGTATTGATCAATTGTGTGCGACGACTATCATGAATTCTTTTCTTCTTTTCCATCGCCACTATCAATAGAGCGTGAAACGCAGTGAAATTATAAAGTAACATAAAGTTCAACACTCTCATATTTCTCATCGTTTTCAAGTAAGTTCATTCTTAACACACAAGGGGCTTAATCTAATTCATTTGTCTAAACTATCTCAGAATGATATACTCAAATAAACTTCATAAGATCAACAAATTAGACATAAAACTATTGTGATAGATGAATCACAAAGAAGATGTTAATAAAAAATTTTTACGTGTATTAATGATCAGAATCTTGAGAGAATTCAGCTTCCTTGTTCTACGAGAGAACTTCTCACTACGGCTTGTCCATGATCTTGTATTAGTAGGAAAGGTATGCGAAAAACTAGAAAATAGTAACGATAAAGTCATTATGAAAATCCATTCAACGTAAACAGTTTGACACTATAAATATTCATTATTATTGTATTTTAGATAATACATCATTAAGCACATTTCAAGAAGATTCTGTTTAGAAATCAATTTGAAAATGAAAATTGTCTGTTTTCTCGCTTTAATCTTATTAACCATGATCGGTGAAACGTATGAATTTCGATTACCAACGCGTAGATTTACAACGCCCCGAACAACACGCTTAACATTCAGAACACCTCGAACAACACGCTTAACATTTAGAACACCTACAATTACGTCACCTTCAATTATAAATACGCCGGCCGCAACAACTCTAGTAAAAACAGAAGATGGAAGGTAAGTACAAAAATTCACCTAAACATCAATAAGTGATTGATGCTGTTAATCTATTTATTTTTTTGTTTAATAGTTATAAATGTAGAGATTTCCATTTGACACCACTCAACGATCGAGGTTTAAAAACAGAAAAACTCAATATTGAAAATGAACCCATCCGACTATATCAAACAGGATATAACAACAGAGTAGAATTTGTTTCTGCACGTCAGAATATTGCTTTATCTATAGTATAATGTGAAAATAATCATTTGTTCTACTAATCCCGCAAGAGTCATTTTTTTCTGTAGAATAAATTCTCAAAATTCATAATAACACAGTCTGAATGCTGTTGAGTTAATAAACATAGAAATTGTTCACTCATTATAGACTGAGATCATTCTACTACTTGTCATTGTTCGTATTCTGCAGAATACTTATGTGAAAAAGTCATACTCAATTAGAATTTAGGCGAAACATTTTTGAACTTTTCGTTCTAGGTATAACCGCAAGAACTATCAATCGCCATCAGTCAGGAATCAACGACGCTGTTCGAGACTTTGTTCGAAAGATGGGTCAGTCGACAGATAATCCTGGTCTTGTTATTCATAGCGTATTAGGTGGCTCTGATCACGATTTGTATTATATTTATCCAAAAAGTCGCAATCCGATTTTTGAAGACAAAGTACTTTCGCAAGCACTACTAATTTATTGGTATGTTTCATCTCTCAAGTATGAGAAACAACTTTATGCTAAATTATATTATTCTTCACCAACAGCAACGAAACCTGACAAAATCGACTATACATTTGTTTTTAATGCTAGCCATTGAAATGTCGTTACTCTTTACAATATCTGGTAGTAATTTAATATCCGTTAACAATAGGCATTTTTCGTATCAGACATTCCACTAGGTTTTATTATTTGTGCTTTTCATAAAATAAAAGTTCTCATATCAATTGTTCAATAGCCTAGCTAAACGATGATGTTTTCCTTATACCTAATTTTTACTGTTATTAGTCAATGCAAGAAATTTTCTCAGCAGTTGACATGAGCTGAAGTTCATTATCGAAACATCAAAAAGTAAAAATATATCTGTAAAAAAATAAATTGAGAAAAAGTTCTTTGGGGTATCATGAGGTGTGATGTATATCTCTGTTACCCAGTGTAAGATCAGAAGGAATTAGTTTCACTTATAATCACATGATTTTATTGCTAACAAGGCGTAGGTATGAAACGTCAATGTATCTGCAGATCGTCTTGTTAAAGTATCTATCTACAACGCGTTTAAATCAGCTTAATATAAACTATCAAAACTGTATCTCTGAAGTTGAACGGTTTTGTTAAAAGACACAAAAAATAAATGTAAAGCAATATAATCTGTTTGATATACGAAGAACACGTAAAAATATCTATTTAATAGAAAATTAGCTATATAAAACCATGTAACAGCATTGTTGGAAAAGAATATCAAATATTTTTCTTGTTTTTATTTACCACAAGGGGTGGATGTGGGTAAAGAGAAAATGAATCTATACTCACATCCTAGACAATTTCTCTAAGAAAACTCGTGGTTTCGAACATAAAAACTTTCGGCATTTTGAAAGAATATAAAATGAAACAACATATTTTCTCTTTCTTTCTACTCATTTTTTAACATTTGCTAACGCATACAAATGAATTGAGCAATATGGTGCTTGACGACGAGAATATATGACACTAACCGATAGCGGAGTTGTGCAGTCACTTGAATAGAGCCTTGCAGGTTGAGCTAACCTGCCCTGCCCGGTCAGGACAGGACAGGGCAGGGCAAGGTTATAGAAATTTGTACAGGGCAGGTTGCAGGGTACGAGGGTTGTAACCTGTCAATCGGCGATAAATTTTTCATACTAAATACTAACGATATATTTTATAAAATTATACAGAACATTAAGTCCAGATATTATAGACGATATGTTAATGATTTGAAATTTTCGAGATATGTGATTCTGTTTTTGTTTATTTATTCAATCTATGATTTAAAATGGATTAAATGAAATTGTATAACAAATTGATATGAAGGTTTAGAGTTTTTTATAATGTATAGCAGGGCAGGACAGGTTAAATGTTACAAAAATTTTCACAGGGCAGGGCAGGGCAGGGTACACGAAAAGTTTACAAGGCAGGGCAGCTTACAGGTTGTCAAAATCTGAGCAGGGCAGGATACAGATTGCTAAAATGTCTTGCCCTGCAGGCCTCTACACTCGAATTTCTTTTTTTTCAAATAAATACAATCATAGAAGACATGTAAACGATGATTATGATAAAACTTTTCACATATACATATATTCTAATAAGATGAAACATGAAGTCAGTTTTGATGTGTTGATGAAGATCGACCCCAATCTGTAGATTTAGGAGCTTGTTGCTGCCGTTGTACTGTAGATGTTTGACTGGGCTGATTAGTTGTTGTTCGAAAACGAACATTATTGTGCTTTTCACTTTCAGTAGACTCACTACGAAATGAGCAATGGCAGTATTTCAAAAGAATAATTTCATCATTTGGTATATTCTTATAATCAGATAATATAGCTTCTTCATCTGCGTTCAAATCACTTATGTCACCAGTATCATCAGTCCAACCATGTCCAACTAATTTACAGTCTGATATATCTTGTAACTGAACTGGATTTTCTTCTGTTATTATAGGTATTTTATTCGCATCACTTGATTTTCTAAACTGTTGATGAATTGAATGGCTTGAATGAATAAATAGAGAATCATAATCAAGTCTGTTACGTTTCTCTTCTTCTGGCGTTAATTTTGAGGTAAAATCTTTAAGAGCTGTGGATAAAGTCTCTTTATCAATAAATGGTATTAAGACCACATATTGTGAACTTCTCTCTTTACCATTTGGATCAACAACGAATTCTGTTGGATAAAACTTACTAATATCAAATATTTCTTCCGTCATTATTGGTCGCCATGCTAACGGAAGATAGTCTACATTTTTTGGTGAAAATGTAGCCATCATTTGTTCGAAAGGGCGAACTGGTTCTCCAGGTGGATCAAACTTTAGATCCAGATTCTTTACGTTTGAAAAATCATAAGCAAGCGGAGCGTAATGGTGAGGATAATACCTGAAATATGATAAAAAAAATAACGATCTTAGTATATGTGTAAAGCTATGTGAATATACATACCAAGTCCATGATGGCGGGCCTTTAGAATAATATTGAAAAACCCAATATAAACCTTGAACATAATCTGTAGCTACTTTATTAGAAAATGTATTCAAATCAGTTGCATTAAAACCAAATTTGTCTTTATAATATAGTGGACGACGAAATTTGTCTTCATAATATAATGGACGACGATATTTTCCGTCTTTATCTTTTCCACCAACCTTCTTCATCAAGGTTAATAAGCAATCCTTTGTGATTGTACCATTTTTAGTTAGATAATCGTTGTTTTTTGTTAGAGCCTCTCTATACGCATCCATAAGATGATCCATAGTAATGATACTTTTATCAAAAAAATCAATGGAATGTGATTTAGGTAAAAAATCATTCCCAAATAAAAGACAAATCAATACCCAATCATCAACGAAACGTTCTAAATTCTTCAGGAATACCGGTGAATCGTAATTTTGTGACTTAAGGTTATTAATTAATTTTGGTAAATGAATAACAGCATAGTTCGTTTTCGTATTACTCCCTGGTGTAGACGATGATTTATTAGTATTACAATCTTTCGCATGGTAACCTATCTTTTCACAATTAGCACATACTTCACATAAAACCTTCATTTGTGGTTCATGTGTTAATAAACCAAGTAAAACAAGATCACTGTCTGAACTATAAACAACATGAAATGTACCATTAGTATTATTTTGTTGATGACGTTGTTGACGTATGAAGTTAATTATTTTATGTTCACCTTCACCAGGTACATTGGCATCAGATAAAATAACATTTACTGAGCGCCAATCTTCTTCTGTATGCATACGATTACGAATAAAATATCGTAGACATTTAGATAATTGGCACATAAATTCTGTGCCAGGTTTTATATTACATTCATCGAAAGTTTTTTTTTCTAATTTATGTTGTTCATTTGTTTCAAATCTATTTACTTCTCTATCAGGAATATTTTTTGATTTGAGAAAACGCTTTGTTCGTTGATGAGGCATTCTCGCTTTTGGTGCAACACCATCCATAGCTATATAAAGTAATTGACTTGGTTTAATACTTCGAACTAATCGATCAATATGTTCAATAACATCTTTAATAATATGATTTTTATCGTTTGATTCTGCATATTTATGAATAATATGGTTTAAATCTAAATAGAGGCTATGACACTAAAGGAGAGTAGGATCGTTAGTAATAATAATTAAACTTACTTTAGTCTCATCTGCAAGATTCTTTTCCGTGCACACTGATTTAATATTTGGATATTTTTTAAATAAATAACTATAGAAACCTGAAACACCCATGCTGAACTAAGAATTTGCTGAAAATAATAATTTAATCTAGAATGAAACAATTATTTTATATGAAAAAATAAATACAAACGTATATTAAGTGATAAAACTGAGAGAAAATATCGGATGTTGAAAAACCTCTACCTGTCGTTCACTTCCATCTTTATATATATATATACGTCAATAGGAGAAAAGTTTATCACACAGAATGGAAAAGAGTTATATTATAAATGGGAAAAAAACCTAGAGAAAGAAAAATGGGAAAAAACCCAGAGAAAGAAAATTGGAAAAACCCAGAGAAAGAAAATGGAAAAAATCTCAGAAAAATGAAAATGGGAAAAAACCTAGAGAAAGAAAAATGAGAAAAAACTCGGAAAAAGGAAAGTGGGAAAAAACCCAGAAAAAAGAAAAAGGTAACTATGACAAAATGAACAGAAAACGTCGTCTATCATAGTATGAAGTACATTTTTTTCTAGTTAGTATTTGAATTCATGTTAGAAAACAATATCTCGTCAAAATATTAAAAAAGTTTATATTCAGTAAAGTGCTTACTTCAAGCAATAGCAATCCATAGTGAAAATACGCATCAGGCGAGTACGAATTGTCAGCGTGAGTTATCATATTACTCACACCAATACTCGACAAATTTTGCGTGTATTAAGACTGTTTGTGTACTCGAATAAGTACTCATATGAGTTATTTCTGTACGATTTACTCGCTAATGAAAACATGAGTATTCAATTTAGAACTCATCCTAGTCTTTCCTGGAACAGTTATTGAAACGCTTATGCACTATAATATTACAAAAATAGAATAAAATTATGCAATACAAAAAAATGAATTATTCAGATGGAAAATACGAAAGAAATATTTTGATGATTTATTTATATTATCTTTTTTTTTGTGATGGGTCATTCGGCTAAATGTAATGAATGGTCACTTCAAGAATAGAAAGATGACTTGTTCATTTCAACTGGTCTTTTCGTTAGTAATGTCGGAGATTTCTTTGCACATATCAACGATGACAAATTTAACTTTGATTTAATAACTTTTAGATCAAAATTCTTTGACATTAAAACGCTTTTCTTTTAAGACAAAGTGTGAAAATTACTGACAAAAAAGGTGAATACTAACTTTTCTACAAATCGGTTAGGATCTAATGTTATGAGATCATATGCATTATCTTTAGGACCATTTTTATTTTTTATGTTTATTACTAAATAAAATTTAGTTGTGAATTTTGAATACATATTTTTTATCCTGATGATCTACCTGATATTTTCTTAATGATATATTGTGATTTGATAAATAATTTCTTATAATTTATATTTACTACTCTTGTATTTCTATCAGTATGTATTTTTATTCACACCTTTTTTATTCTGTAAAGGCGAAATGTTTATTGATACTTTTCATAAAAAAATCCAAATGTAATGCAAAGCGTTCGGTTTTCAGATTTAGTTTTTAAGAGTTTCTCAGTGTTCAATTGTATTTTTGTTATTAAGTGTGTACCTAAATAAAATAAATGTACTGCAACGATACTGAACAGAATATAAAACTGTAAGTAATCTATAAAAACCAACTAGAGTTCACAAAGACTGTAATATGAGTACCGGCAAACACTCAGTATTGTACACCGAGTACTCGATTATCGTCCTCAAATACTGAGATTGTAACACGATTACCAGTAACAAGCACTAAAATCTCATGAGCACTCGCGACATCTCGGATGATGAGCATGACTTGAGTACATTGACTAGGGAAAATATCTTTAGCGTTGCTGATGTCTATTTACAGATAATCTACTGAATTGATTCTGTATTTTTTAGCAAATATATATCCTTCCAAATAATAAAAAGAAAAGAGAAGTAAATCAAAAACTACGTCGAATACAAATGACCTGTCGTCATAAACATATTAAGCTTAATATTTATGAAAAGAGAACGGAACATTCTATAGAAACTAAACTAACTATGTAAAACAATCAGTTAAAGATTGTTTGGTTTTTGTTAATAATATTATACTTCTAGAAAATACACAATCGTTCAATTAGCCACTTTCTTTTCTATGCTCACTTACGTTTACTTTTTTTTGAAGAAATAGTTCAGTTCGAATGCATTTTCAAAATACGATCGAGTTTTATAAGTCATACTCGAATTAACTCGACATATATTATAAAAGATTGTGGGTATAGGTGTCGATGTATGAGTGGGTTGAGCGTTGATAGGCACGAACGCCTACACCCAGACCCATCCTACACTCTCTGGATTGAATAAAGATGATTAAAAATTCTAATAATCATGCCTTTTTATCCGTATATACAACATCAATTCTCGAGAAAATATTAAAGGAATAAAGCGAACGTGAAAAATAGATCATTTCTCTTGATTACATTTCTTTGGATAAAAAATTCCATGGGATAATAACTTCATCCCACCTTATCTCATTTAAAACCTTGCTATGAATGACTAAATGATGTTAACGGTAACACAATAGTCAAAAACAATTTCTTATCCTGTCGAATATGAAATTATATACTATTCTTTTTCTTTCTGTTCTTCCGAGTATTTTTATTACTTTTTTATCGTTTTCTTCACATCAGTAAAATAAATTATTTCGTACACGTGCAACCATCGAAAGAAACAAATGAATATTTGACTTATATATAAAAAGAGCATATACATCATGAATAACAATTATCAATGGATGAAATAGTAGAAGAAACTGTTTTCATACCCCAATTTTCTAATACGAATCAAATTCGTCGAAAATCACATAATAATCAACATCTCAAAGAATTTATTCTATGGCTTGTTTTATTAATTTGTCTTTTACTTCTTGCTGGTCCATTGCACATCATCTATCCTATTCGGTGCCGACAGTAAAAACACGAACAGTCCCACGTCATATATTTAGTGAAGAACGTGCTCTTGATTATTTAAGTAATTTAACTCAATATGGATCAAGAGTGAGTAATACACGTGGAAATTTTGATGCACGTAATTATCTTATTTCACAAATAAAACGTATCTGTTCGATGGATGAAAGACATATTCAATGTGAACTTGATCTTCAAAATTTTACTGATTCGAAACACAATCAATTACAAAATATTCTTGTTCGTGTATCAAATTCAATGAATAAATCTCAAAATATGCAGAGTCTAATATTAACTGCTCATTACGATTCAGGTGCGTACGTTTAGAAATTTAATCATTTGAAGTAAAATTCTATTTTTTTTCTTCTGTTTTAATAGTGGAATTCAGTCTTGGAGCTGCTGATGATGGTTCGGGTGTCGTTATTTTACTTGAACTTTTCTCAAATTTAATTAATGATTTAACAATAAATTTTTCTAATGTTCCCTTGATTATACTATTCACAAATGCCGAAGAACCAGGAGTAGAAGGTGCCTTGGCATTTATGCTTCATCATAAATGGCGTTTTAATGTTCGTTATTTTCTCAATGTTGATTCAGTTCGTTGTACTGAAGCAGCTAATCTAATGCGAACAACATCATCACAGGTATTTTTTCTTTGTCAGTCCAATTAACTTTGTATGAATTGTTTTTGTAGCTTATCATGGATTATAGTCGTGTGGCAAGACCACGTACGAATGTAATCCTACAGAAAACTTCAACGTGGTTTCAATTTTCTACTGATTATGATGCTTTCAATTTGATTTCTTTTCTATCAGGATACGATTTTGGTTTCTTTCTTGATGGTTACACATATCATACACCACTAGATCAATTATCAACATTTAAACAAGGTGTTATTCAAGATCTTGGTGATAATCTTGCTATATTAATTCGTAATATACTCCTTGAGCATAACCAACAGCTAAACGATAATAACGATGCAGATCCTTTAATTTATTTTGATATTCTTAGTCGATATTTGATGATATATAAACTATCGACATCAATATTAATTCAAAAATTTTTAATTATATTAATTATTATTATTGGTATAATTCGAATCATATTTGATCATATATATCATCGACAAAAAAATTTCTCATGTAATGATTTTCATTGTATTTATTTTCGATTTAAAAATCCATTGATTATTCGTATTATTTCTATCATTATATATTCGATTTCGAATATTCTATCTATGATTATTGGTTTTGGATTTTCATTGATTTTAGCGTGTATTACATCATTAATTCAACTTGCTCCATGGTTTGGTAATTCAACATTAGCCATATTTCTTTTTAGTTTACCATGTTTAATTGGTTTTATTATTTTTCAATATTTATTCGATCTATTACATCGTTTTATTCTTCGAAAATGTTCTCAAAATTTAAATGAAATTCATTTCGATTTTGAACAAAATTTTTCCGTTCTCATCATTTATAGTTTATCAATGATTATTTCAATTTATTCTAATTCTCGATTTTTTTATATAACTCTTATTTGGTCAATATTTATTTGTCCGTTATATCTTGTTCTTATTATTATTGAATTTATTCTTCATTGGAAACAAATCTTTGAAAAAAACGCTCATCAGTTATATTTACCATTGTTAATATCTTTTTTTCCATTGATACATACCATTGAAACAGTCAATCGAATACTTCGTATTTTTACTCCATTTATATCACTACGATTTTCATCTGGATGGATACATCGTGGAAATATAATTATTTGTAGTATTGTTGTTATTCCTACACTATTTTTTCTTCCATTATTACAACGAACAAAACAATTTATTCGTTTATTAATTGTTCTTTTATTTAGTTTTTTTATTGTCTTGATTGTTTGTTGTATTCGTCAACCATTTACGAAAAATCATCCAAGTACATTTTATGCTAAACATATATCAAAATCAATTTATTCTGCAGAAACTTCAATGAATAATTCATTTAATATTTCACTTCTATCACAACAATCGACAATTACAATTAATACATATCATGGTCTTGTTCTATCACCTATACTTGATCAATTTTCAATTAAAAGTGGTCGTAAATTATATAATAAAACATGTTCTAGCTCAACAAATTGTACATTTGATGATAGTTTTAATCGTCAATTAGCTGTTGAACATATTCAAATTGAATCGATGAAAAAGAAATATAGAATTCGAATTCAACATGCATTATCTTATAATATTCGAATTTCATCATTATGGAATATTGAATTAACTGTTCAAAATCAATTCGATATTCCAAGAAAAAACACAATTATTGATATTGTTGTTGATTCATCGAGATCGATATTCGAAATCGATATCAAAATTCAACGATGTGAGATAAATGATTCACCATTTTTATTATTATTTACTCGTTTAATGCCAAATACTGTACTTATGGGTGGCGCATTCTGTGAAGCTATTGATGATGATACTACACTTATTATTAATCGACATGAACATTTTATTGATTAATCAATTGTACTATTATATTAATTTAAAACTCGTTTTTTTCTAAATGTCGTTTATTGTAAATAATGAATTATATAATTTAATGAAATAAACTTGAAATTTGTATTCATCATTACATTCAAATCATCAGTTGTTTGTTTATTGAACAACATGAGGTATAATAATAAAACTATTTTAAATGATTGGATAATTTGTTGTATGGTAAATATATCATAACGAGAGAGATCTACTAGGGAAGCAGAAATTTCAAAACGAGAATTCATAATTTTATCTTAAAATTGTAAAAAAGAAAAATCAAGTTTACTGTTAAGGGCAAAATTTTCTCAAATTAACGGCTTAGTGCGCTTTCATTGTAACTTATAGGGCTTTTATGTAACTTCAAAATTTTAAACATCATGGCTGACTAATTGTATAAACTATTTTGTACCATTATATTTGGAAATATGGATTCATAGATCAGTCACCCAGCCTTGTTTCTAATTCTTGATCCTAAGTCATGTGGCTTTTTTAAATTATCTTCAGGGTAGATGTTCAATATATGTATTTTCCATACATTCAGCAAAAGTAATACACTTGAACTTGCGGGCGTCAATATTTTTATACTGATCATTTACAGTATTTCTTTTTAACCGCTACACAATTGATTGCACGGATACGTTATGCAAACATTGGCAAATAATTTGATTATTTGAATACTACACTCTGAATTTTTTTTGAATATGTCTTGGAATCCGGAGAGTAAAAATCTGGAAAATTTCTGATATCGTTCTAACAGAAGAGAATGATAAGATTCTTTCATAAGTGTTTATGGTTGTCTACTTCAATCATGATTACCGTTTACCGAGTGCCATTCTACTTTACTGTGCTCTGCACTTCTATTAGCAAATATACACAGACGTGCATCTTGAGAGTGTGGGTGTTATGTCTATGCTTTATTTACACCCACACCTTCCAGCCCAATTCAATACATTTGCCAATAAGAATGTAACAGTTACATTTCGAAAGAACTGAATCTAAGCTTTCACAGTCGTACTTGCCAAACATTTCGAAGGCGATGAGATTGATCGCGATGAACATCTCATGGGACTTTCTTTATTGGTGGCTAGTAAAAAGTGAACTACATCACTTCTCTTCAAATCAAATAATTTCTCTTTTTCCTTATACATGCTTCTTTGTTACATAAACTGTTGAATCTTTTTTAAAAAATTTCCGGATTTCGGGACAATAACTTTTTTTTCATTATTGTTGTTCCATATTAAAGATCGTAGCTTGAAATATTCTGCTTTCATCAATAGCTAGCCATTTCAAATGAACATTATTATTTTATTCTTAAATAATGTACAATTGATTTTTTTTCTTTTAGATTGTACATAATTCAGTACATATAACAACTTAAATTTGTTTTTTTACTTGAAATGATTACGTTATGTTTCTAAAACTTTTTCATCAAGCAATTTAAACTATCACACAAATAAAACGAGCATAAACAAAATATTATGCGTACACGAATCGCAAGAGCACATGTTTTCGTTCTATCTTCTTGTTATGTTTTGTAAGCTTATACGTGAAGCAAAGAAAAGAAAAAGAAAAATACTTTTTACAGTCTTGATCATAAAAAAAATCTATTGGTCTCTATTTAATCATTGATGCATTTATTTACACCTTCTTTCTTATACTCTCTAAATAACAAAATTATTTTTGCTTCTGATTCATTTTTTTTCACCTAAATAATAAGTTTACAATGAAGTAGATAAAATATTTATATCAGAATAAAAGTTTCATAGTTAAGTTATAGAATTGACGATATCAACAAAAAACATTTTATTCGTTTGTTAAGTTTAGAATATCAGTATTGCACTAAATGTTTATCAAATATTGTAATAGTGCTGTCGACGAGGGATAGAAAGAAAAAAACATGAAATATACCATTCTATCGATAATTATGAGGGCAATCTATGCCTTGCAATTATATATGAATAGTATATGACGACGATGCATTAATGGTATATTATTTATATTTTTTTCTTCTATTAATTTGATTGCATTGAAACTTTTCTGAACTGCTTCTCGTCAACAATAAAAGAACTATTAAATTGGAATTATTATTTACTTAGCATTTATTGAACATTTACCTTATCAACAGCATTAACTCTATTTAGTTGCAACATATGTATTACAATGTAGAAATTATTTTTCTAAGATAATATAAATAATAATAAAAACACGAATCCACGCATTAATATTTGTTAAAGACCGATTTTCGTTGGCAACAGATTTTTGGTAAACAAATGATGTCGAAATTACTTAATCCATTAAGGTTTATGTTACGTATGGGATGACTTCTTCAGAAATAACCAGAAGATAATTATATCAATCTGAGTAACTCAGATAGTTTTGAAACAATTTATCTCCGACTAGAAGAAAAACAAGCTTCTACTAAATCTGTAGACAATTAAAACGGTTTGATATGTTAAAAAATATGCGTTTAAATAATTCTTTTCTGGAGCTTTACATAGATAAGTTATAGCATTTTGATTGTCATCTGTAAACAATGATGCAAATATACTTGAATAAATATCAATTTACTTTTTTATGCTAACAACATTTTAGAAAAAAATTTTAAATTATTCGAAATCTACATTTTAAGCGACACGATGCGTACTCATCCAATTCAAAGAACACATGAGTCAACGACAAAGTGAAGGATTTATTATTCAAAATGTGAATCAACAACCCGAAGAACAAATGATACCAATATCAAGTAAGTAAATGTAACAGATTGTCAAGAGACGATTTATAAAAAAATTAGACCAAAATTCCATGCATAGACTATTCAAATTCATAACTCTGAGCCGATCTATCTATTTATTTCTCATATTTACTAATAACTTAGTAGACATATATGAAATAAAACATAATCTGAATATCACTAATACTCATCAAGAGATTTGTTGTAATCAATACTCTTCCTCTGCGATATTTATAGTAGTAACCGCACATAGTTTTCTCATGGAAAAGTCTATTTCTATATTCAGTAATTGGCGAATACGTGAAACAACTATTTGTACTATAAATTCGTTGCTAAAATAAATCAACTTCGCTATTATAAACTACTCAACATTTTCATTTAGACACAACAGAAACTCTAATCATAAATGATACACCATCGTACTCTGGAAAACAACACATTGATCGGAGTCGTCCCAAAAGCATCGTTACTAATATTCTCCTAGTATTTGGTCTTCTTATTTTAATAATTCTAGCCATTTGTCTTTTTATACTTGTTGAAATGTTTCTTCCTGGTCGTTATAATCGTCCAAGTGCATATGCTCAGTATGGTTTTCGTGATGGTTTTACTCATACTGCTCGTAATACTATTTATTTTGCTGGTTTTATGCTTTTTCTCGGTGTTATTTTTATTCTTATTTGTTGTTGCTACCAGTATGTCGCTTTATGCTCAAAAAGGAATCGATCTTCGAATACTGAACTTTAAACATATTGCTTCCGAGCTATCATTTGACAAAAGACAATAAATGAAGTGAATCATAGAATAAAAAATGAGTGATTATCTCACTATCAATGCAGTAAGAATGTGATGTCCTTAAGAAAGATAAAAAGGTTTGATCAATTCTATACTTCCAACAATCTATCAGGTAAAAAGCAGAACGATATTCTTTGATAGATGATCCTATATTTTTCATCATTGTTCTATTATGCAAATAGTTCATTCACCGCTTTTAACACTACAATAAATTTAGACAATACCAATGCATTGATGATTATACACAATTTCATTTTACTTTTCGTCGATGCGCAACCCAAGTGATATTTTAAATTATTGTCACCTCGAGATATTATACCAAATAATTACTTCTTGAACGAAGCCTTAAGCATTAGATTTATCTCTCATTTTCTAACTTCTTCATCATATATCCATTTTTTTGAAATTGCGTCTTTAATCCTAATTTTTGTAACATCCTATTTAGATGCAGATCCCTGATGAGTATTTTCATTTTCAAAATAAAAGAACTCATTTTCGACTTACGATCGATTCTTGAAAAGTAAGACTTATGCCTAACTAGATATATCTTCGTCTTTTCGTTTGGTATAGCCACCCTCACCCTTAGTGAGGACGTAAGATGAATACAATTCTAGTGTTTCAGTGATCACACTGGAGTTTCTAAGTCAACGAATCTCTAATGTTGACTTTCTTCTACAATAACTAATGACACTATCAAGTCAGTGAGGCAAAGATAATAGTTAGAATTTAGTCGAAAATCAGATACGATTTTACTTTCAGAGCAAGTATCCTCTGAGATAATGTTTTTATTTTCATTTTGAATTCGAAAAAGTTGAGAAATTTTAAGTACAATCTTAAAAATATTCCTTTTCTCGAAAAACTACTATGACGATTGATATCTTCATCAAATTTTATCAAAGAATTTACTGATCTAGGGTTTCAAAGTTAATTTACAGAAGGAAGCTTTTCTGTTGGTGGACTAACACGCGACATTTTGTTTAATACATAATCACTAACGTTGACCTTGTCAACAGTAACCTTTTGTTCATAGATAGCTTCGATTTCATGAGGTTCAAGATGACAATTCCATACGCTGAGATCTGCAATGTCGCCTAACCAAAAATTAAGTCCAAAAGATTTCGCTCCAATATGTAAAGTATGAGGTCGTTGTATTTTTTCTTCTTTCCAATTGGTAATCATCTCTTTAGTGATTAAATGTTTTTTGAAAACAGTTGAATGATTCTGATATTGGCTCATATCAACTGTATTGGCGAGTTTTCCATTAACATAAAGTGATTGTTTCAGACGAGAAACGAGGACTACTAAATGAAACCATTGATTTGTTCCAAAGGTCCCACCGGCACATTCATACTGAACTAGAGCTGGCGAAATTATAACTTGGTTTTCTGTTTTAAAGTAATTACTGTGACCAAGATGAAGCCAATGATTATTATCAGGTTTCCATGCTCCAACTGCGGTACGATGATCAAAGGCCATACGACTGGTACTTAGCCAGACTGCAACACAGAAATGATCTGTTTGATAAAGAGGAAGATCATAGACTGGAATATCAATAGATGATCTGTCATCAAAACTAGCACAAGAACCAAGAAAACATGTATTCTGTCGTGGTTGACCTGTGAATGTATAACGATCTTTAGTAATGCCTGATGAATCGTGACCAAGTTTGTTTGTATCCTCAAATTTCCAATGACCGATGAGATGTCGTCGAGCAAATTCACGAAATCGATACTGTTGAAACCATCTATCTAAAATTAGCGATCGCCATTGTCGACATGTACATGAAACACGTAAAAGTTCTTTTATAGAATCGATATGACAGAAAATGCGGATTAAAAGTTCAGGAGGAAATGTGGCTAGTTGGTCATTTGAATTTGCCATTCAATACACTACATAAAAATAAATAACAAGATTTGACAAGAATAATAAAAACAACACATATATGTGATGACTCGATAAGCACACATTTATTTTTACTTGTTCGATATAAAGACAAGAACGAACAAAAGACATACTGTGTTTGCTATAGATTCTAATCGTTAAAAGGTGAAGAATCAAAAGAAAAAGAAAAAATGCACATGTGCATATTGTTTTTTTCTTACGAATATTTGAGTGAAGAATGAAAATGACGATGGGTATCAAGCAGATGTATATACATGTTTTTCAACCTTGAGCCACACATTTACTCTATACCATCATCATCTGTACTTGGAATAAATTGTATTTAGTCGAAGAAAAAGTTTAATATTCTTATGTTATGATACATTCAATCAAGATTTTAGAATATATTATCTTTATGACTTTTCAAGGACATATGTCACGAAAACAACACTTGTTTTGTTTTTAGAGTACTTATATATTGTATTTGTGTTTCATCATACAACCTTGAAATACGTCAGATAGAACTATTTATCAATAATTGAAAATTGTCATTTGGATTGAAAAAAATATAATTTTTTAAGGCATATTATAGAAAATTACAAAGTCAGAATTCGAAAACAGGTATTATTACAAATAAATTTGAAATTAACAGTGAGAAATTATATTACAAAGATATTTTCTTTATCTAGTTGCCAAAACTCTGCTGATACTTTAAGCTAATCTGGCATTCCATAGTTCTGAAAGAAGTCATCATATTTTTGTAATTAACTTTGTATCACAAGTGATTCATATTGTATTTTAGCTCTATGAGTATATCCACTATGAGAGAATTTGCTCAAATGTGATCTCGATTTTGATTAAAATCATTTTACAATGTAATGAAATCTTAAAAGTAATGTATAATTATCATTTTTATATTAATAAAAATATTTATACGATATTTGTTTCCAAACGAATCAATCTTTCCAGACTCACATGAATTGTGTGTGGGAGAGGATGAAGATATTGATAAGAACCACACTCGATTAGACTACTGATGATTGTTAAGATAATAGCTTCCATTCAATTAATTACTAATAAAAATTGATCTAGGAAAATATTATTGACCAAAATTACCCAGTGGCATTTTTTGAAATAACTCAATAGTACTTTGATTTGCTTGAGTAAATGATTGTCCATTCATTTATATAACTAATTGTCGTTTTAAATATTTGAATAATATTCGCAACAGAGCCGACTAACAACTTCGTTGAAGTTCTACATTCTATCACAGAACACGCATTTTTGAAAACATCTTGAATGTGTGAAACTCTAGACAGATTGTTTTGAAGTTTGTTGTTAATGCTCGTCTGATACGAAGCAGTAAATATAACAATGACACTAAAATTATAAATAAGTACAGGTTTTGTAACGTCCAGTGAATTCACTTATTCAAAATAAATTAAAACACTGGTTTTCATTAACAAACACAAGATAAATCAAAAAGAACTTTTTTTTTGTATGAATAATGTACTTATAATAATTTGATTAATACATAATTATAAGAAAAGTACGTGGACAAACGAAGTAATACCATCACTAGTTGAAGCAGCTATCAATGCATAAATTCATACATTTATGAGCAACATCAATAAACTTTGATATTCTTTATTTAATCGTTGGTCGTATAGAACTAGTTTCTCTTCAGAATATAAAGTCAGTAATGTTACCGATAAAGCGAAAATATTTACAGGTCCATTATGTTCTTGTTGATTGATTTTTATTTAAAAAAAATTTCCTTTCGTATTTAAAACCTTTTTATAACATCCATGTAGTTACGGGAAAAAATTATGTACGTCTCAACAGGTTCCTGAAAAACATTTAATACGTTGGGACGCACTAAGACCATCGAAAAGTGTTGTTGATGGCGACTCATTTCCAATCTGAGATAAACTATCATATATTTTCAAAATTTTTAGATTTTATATGAGACGTGTTTAGACGCTTCGAATGCTTCACGGATGACGCGTTCTCACAAAAAAAATACGTTTGAACGCATTCATACACGTTTCTAAAATGTATCATGTTTAAACGCTTCGTTTGTTTCACTGAAAACGCATTCAGACGCGTTCATTCTTAGCGTTTCGCACGCAAATCAAATGTATTTGAATGCAAGTCAAATTATGAACGCATTTCTAAAATAAATCGTATTTGAACGCTTCGTTTGATTCACTGGAAACGCATTCAAATGCGCTCACTTTTAGCGTTTCGCACGCAAATCAAACCCGTTTTAGACAGGCATTCATGTAAAAGATTTATTCATGAACTATCAAAAAAATATTTTTACATCCTATGCATCCTTTTTTCTTTTTTCTTTATTGAATCCAACAAGCATAAAAAGAAAAAACAGAATATTATCTAAATAGTTTCATTTGAAAATCTTTCTATTATATTATCATGTCATCTGTTGAACAAATAAACAGTGCTGCAAAACAAATTACTTTGGGAATCTCCATCATTTGCATTATCTTTGGAACCATTGGTCTTTTACTGAATTTAATTATCTTCACTCGTCGTTCATTCCAAGCTAATTCTTGCTGTATTTATTTTTTAGCAGCTACTTGTATTAATCTCTTTGTTGTATTCATTATTGTTCCATTTCGTATTCTTGTCGGTGTTTTTAATATTGACCCAACTTCAAATAATGAACCTTTGTGTAAAATTCAAATATACTTATTCTCTGTTACTCGAGCATTGGCCATTTGGTTTATTGCACTTGCATGTATGGATAGATATTTTTGCAGTTCATCTAATATCAAACTTCGTACTTTAAATTCAGTTAAATTTGCTCGGCGAATTATTTGTACTTGCACAGCACTTCTTATTATTGTTTACATTCATAACCTTATCTACTTTAAGATTGGCTTAGTATCGGATCAATTGGGTCATTTAGTACCATCATGTATTCCAACACGTGGAATTTATGCTATATTTACTCCATTTTGGAATTTAGTATGGTATGCACTTTTACCATCATTTCTTATGTTTATTTTTGGTATTTTAACAATAAATAATATTCGCCGTTCACATCACCGAGTTATTTCACAAAATCAATTATCTCAAAATCGAATAAATAATCAATTATTAAAAATGTTACTTATTCAAGTAATTACTATTTTATTAACAATTATTCCATTTATAGCTTGTCGTCTTCAACTTAGTCTTACTTTAAATAATATTAAAAGTCAATATGAAATTGCTCGAGATAATTTATTTTTACAAGCAGCAACTGTCATTTCTCTTATTTCACATTCAATCTCATTCTATCTGTTTACATTAACAGGGCCTATTTTTCGACATGAACTTATTCGAATTATAGCTATTTGGTTACCTCTTCTGATACCGAAAAATAAAGGACAACATCATGCATGTATGATTACAAATGTTCAAAATCATCGGATTCATCCTATTCAATAGATGCACTTTCAACGAGTTAATCAATCTGCAAAAACTCATTAAAATCCCACATTAATTTATTTTATCTAACTATGCGGCAAAAAAAAACTTTTAAATAAATTCTTAATTTTTTTCACACAAAAAATATAAAAACAAAGTAATGCACACCTCGTTCACAATTATTTTTGCAATTCACAAACGCATTCAAGCAGCGATATTCTTGTCTGAGAATATATTTTTACGCACGTCAAGATCAAATAAAAACTGATATTATAGTTGAGTAAACGAGCTTATGTATTGTTCACCTATAAATCCATCTGTCTTTTAAGATATTAATATGCCAAGAATATAGATGGACATCCTTTTCAATAACCTCCTTGTTTTATCACATTTACCGTTCTTGTGTTCTGTTTTTTTTCTCTTGCTTTGTATACTAGATATAGTTAGTCTTAACACGTACACTGGAGACGAAACTTGGACTCAACGTAATGATTAAAGAATTAATCTGAATTGTATTATAAGACACGAAGACGGAATAGAGTCTGAACCGTAAGCTCAGTAAAGTAGCAATAGGGATTATTCTATTAATCTTTTATTGTTATATTTATTCAATAAAAGATTTATATACATTATTCTATTTTCCGTTACAATTACTAGTAGAAATATTGTCGAAAAATAAAATAATTAATTATTCAAAATATTTATATTGACAAAGACGAAACAGTTACACAAACAAGAAAAATAAAAGGTTTATAACGATCATCGTAAGATGATGCCTTAGAAATGCTTCAATTTGAACATATGAAGAAATTCTTGTCGATAAGTTTTCGATGAAAGTATATAGATAAATAATGTTAAAAAATAGATATTTTGTTGCCAAAGACTAAAAATAATTCGTAATTGATTCACAAATACTGTATTCATTGACGGAATAAATGTTACTAATGTATAACCAACGCCTGCAGGTGTAGAAAAGATAAGATATGCACTCACTTGTAGGATTAACATTCGAGCTAATTGATTTTCTATACGACGATAACGACGACGATTTTGCTGTTTGGGATTTATAGCGAATGGATTGATACGATGTATTTGATTTCGAATATTACGTATTATTAAGAAACCAAATATAGCCATAGCGAATGGTATAATAATATAAGAAAAAATGATTCGACTTGAGAGATAAATAATAGCAATTGTTGATGAATATGAAATACATTGATTCATATTAGAATTAAAATAATAGATAAGAAGAATTGGAGATATGTAGATAACAGTCAATATGATAGTAATAATTATAATTCGTCGTGCAATATGTACTTGACTCAAATTGCGCATTCTTACTGTTGATGAACTAACAAAAAATCGATCAATTGAAGCAAATACTAACATAGTTGAAATAAATAATGGCATTATATTTATCATAAATGTTTGTAATCGACATCCAACTGATAATGATGTGACAATATAGCCATAACGAATACGAATAAACATCATTACAGGTATTTCGCATGTATATAATATACTTGATAAAGCAAAAGCAAGAAAATATTGTGTACTGGAAGATAATCGAAGATTTCGACGACAAAGTACACAAATATTTAGTATATTTGTTGTAATCGTCAATATAATAGTGATTGGGTAAACATAGATGGATATTTTATTAATTTCAACTTGTAAATTATATTGAGTAGATGGTGACGTTGTATTCATTACTTCAATTTTATTAGAATGGTACTGGAACATAGTTGCAATATATAGTTAATTCAAAAAAAAGAAAATAAAAGATCTGACTAAAAGAAGGAATAAAATGACTTTTAATAAATAATAAGGTGAAAGTACGTATCATTAATATTCTTCGCATTTCGATATAATCTATTTAAAATAGAATAGAATATTAATTGCATCATTTTTTTTCTAAATAATCTTTTTATTGAATGTCCTCAGAGAACATTAGACTATTTCTTGCGGATATTATGATGTACAGAAGTCACGAGTATAAGTTTGTTTTTCATAGAAAAACCATCGTTTCTCTTTTATTCGCTAGCGTAAAATAATGAAGTCTGCAGATCTAAAAATGCCTCAACGTATTTTATATAATATTAATTGCTTACATGACAAACAGATAGAGCAATAATTGATATGTATAATTTAATTAACTAATATAAGAAATGTATTATCTTGTTTTAGGAAAAACTTTGTGAACGTTCAGATTGTCTGTTGTAGTTTATTGCGTATAAAAGAATTCTCTGTTAAACAAGTAGATCAAAAATGAATAGAATAATCTATGAGAAAATTTCTAAAGAATATCTTTTAGACTTATATATAGAATAAAAAATCTTACAATTTTAAGAAGTTCCATTAAAAAAATGTAGAAGTTTCAATTCAATTTATCTTTCTCAAAATAAGAAAAAATTTGTTTCTCTGATTATTTGTAGAACAATTCTATTAAATTAAAATTGTTTAATAAAATGTAATAATAACTAGTTCGCTTGTCGATGTATATCAATGATATATAATCATTAAGAAATATCAGAGAACATGAACGAATTTGAGCGTACCGGTGTGGAGCAATAAAAGCAACACTGACATCAATATTCTCAGTCACACACATACATCCACCGATCAAATAATTTATTTAGACCCAATTTTAATAATTTTTCTCTTTATATAAATAATAAATCCCCGATTATATCGACTGCTACTTCGTAGTGACTAATAAATTTTCTAGTTGATCGTTACTACGACGTTAAACAGAATATAATATAGTTATGTACAGGATTTTATACATTAGAAGTAATTATATTTATGGACAACGTATTATAAAACTGATTGTATAGTACTATTTCGTGCATTCTGATTCATTTGTTTTATATCGTTATTAACAACTGAGGATGCGAGTGTAATGGATGTGGCTGTGGATTAAGAGACACCCACACTCTCTCTTTTTATCATGCAATAGATATTAGTGAATTAATAAACAGAAGCAGAACAAATTAATAATTCGTTGATAATTAGAAAAAACTAAATTTATACTCTAATTATTACCATTGATTATCAAACATCGATGCTTCACAAAACAAACACGAAATGGATTATTTCTATTTCTGCTGCATCTAATAATTCAACAAACATTCTCAAGAAAAGAATACAATGATCTGATGTTAAACTTTAATATTAATAAATAATAATGAACATTTTACAGTTACAACATTAAAATAACGTTTTTTAACGAATAGACATCGGTATCTGATACTATTCAAGTTTCTGGCATAATTTGATTGATTACCATTCTTCTTGGTTGCCATCGATTGTGATATATCTCAAATGATACATATATCAATTGTCGACGAAATCGATTCGACACACATACATAGATGTAAAATGGACTCTAAAAATAGGAAAAGAATTTTTCTGATTCTATATATTTAATTTAAACACACTCACTGCAAAATATATATAAACAAGAAACATGGCCACAAGATTCGCAAATTGTATTTGTGCTGCTACGACAGGATCTTGAGTAAGTCCTGGTATTACCAATAAAATGCTTACAATAATATATGGCACATTAGTAAAGAAAGCAAAAACAATGAGTACTAAAATCATTACTGTCAATTGTTTATCTAATTCACGACGCACGAGTGGAACTGTCTGATAACTTAATTGTTGTACATTACGATAAGCCAAAAGTCCAAAAACAAATGTAATGCATATAGGAATAACTTTTCCAATAATTAGAGCAGTACTATAGATATTATATTGTTGAAAAATAGTATTTGTATATGTGCATGTAACTTTGCCTGTTGATATCGATATAACATGATCATAATAGATTAGATAAGGAATATTATGAATAATCCAAATGAAAACAAATAGTAATACCAAACGACGTGCTATTTTCATATTACACAATTGTCGCCATCGTGCACGAGAAGAGGTGGCTAAATATTGATCAATTATTGCCAGACAAATACAAGTCATTGATGTTAATGCACACATATAGAAACAATAAGTTCGTAACTTGCAATACGATAAAGATGTTAGTGTCCAATCAATACCAAAACCACTAGTCATAATACGAGAAAGTAAACCTGTAAGCATTTGGCCTATATTGAAAATGGACATAATAGTCAAATAAAACGCAGCAGAACTTTGTCGAAAAGTTCTCAAACTAAGAAAAACAATGATATTGAGTAATCCACCAATAACACCAGCAATAAGAGTAGATATACCCAAATAAATAGTTATTTGTTTACCAACTAATGCAAGTAATGAAATAATTGATGATGACATACTATTGTTAACTTTTACTGTCCTCGATGTAAAATTTTTCATAAAATGGGCTTAGAGCTTTTGTATATATCTATCTATATATAAATATAATTATCATGCATTCCATTATATTATCAAAGAACGACAATATCTTTAGCACGCACAACCAATTATCTGTATATACTTGATTGAGCAGTCATTCTGTTTATCATTTCCAGTGAAAGGAAAGCCTTTTGAAAAATGAAAGAAAAGAATAAAATTGCATGTCATATGCATCAATTAAATTTATTTCTATCACAACATACTTATCAATTAAATAATGTAATTATACCATGTATTTTTATGTTACTGATTGTTAATGACGTCTTTTTTTCATTTATATAGTACCGTATAACATATCTGGATCAAAAAAACACTAATGCAAAACTAAAATAAGCACACTACATAAACTTTATACTACCAATGAGGTGCAAAAAAAATGCTATAGCATACTAAGGTTAAAATCAATTCATCGATATTAGAATGGATGTTAGAAACAGATTCAGTTTTAAGAAAAATATGTGAAAACTTGAGGGTGTGGATGTCATTGCAGAAGGAACACCCAAATCCACCCTGGCTTTTTTTATAACATTTGCACAAAATCAAACATCAGTTAGTAGGAGTTAACGATATCATCATTTATTTCAAAACTGCGATTAAAATATGTATATTATGAAACATTGCGCTAGTTTCACACAATGATAAGAATCATGACACATACAAGCATGATGTAACTATTCTTTATAAAACTTATCACACCACACTCATCTCTTCTAATATATACAGGTAAAAAAGAACCACCACGTACAGTTTTTTTCTTTTCAGATAATAGTTAACAGAATAAGACTGTATCACATGGCGTCGACGACATCGGATATGTTAGTTTCAATTTTCTTTTCTGATATAATATATTTTAGCATATTAATTCATAAAGATTTAAATCAACATTTGCTGGCTTATCTAACTGAAGAGAGTAAAACGTTTTTGTAGTATCAAATTATACTTCATGTCCTTCTTAACATTCATCGAGCGTCAATAGAGAAAGAATCTATTATCGCAACTTGTCGTCTAGATATGGTATTTAATCTCGTCGAATAAATAAGATTGATACACTTACATTCTATGAATGAAAGCTAATTGTTTGAAATATTGTGCTATTTTAGATTACTAAAACGCACAATAAAATGGTCCAAGAAATTAGAAAATATGATAATATTAGCACATTTTTGAATGATTGTGGGTCTCTACTGATGCAAAACGAATGTGAAAACAATGTAATTCTAGGAATATGCAGTTCTTTTCTTAACAAATCTGTTGATCCTGAAAAATTGATTCTGATTGCAGCTATTGAAAAAAGTGGTAATATCATTTCGTGTGCAATTTCAACGCCTAATAAAACGAACTTAGCAGCATTTACAACACAATTTGATGTTGCTGTTAAACCACTTGTAAGTTATTTCAATCGTAATCAAATACATCTAAAAGGGGTAAATGGTAAAATTGCTGTGGTTAATAGTTTTATGGAAATTTATCAAAAGCCTATTACTGCATCAACAACTCTTCTTTTACATACTATAGAAACCCTACAGAATATTGAACTCGTTCAAAACAGTATACTCACATTAGCAACTACACAAGATCTACCTATTCTTACAGTGTGGCTTAAAAATTTTCAGATAGATGCTGGTCTACTTCCTTTAAAACCTGACGAAGAAATACAAGCCGTAACAGAAGATAAGATTACAAAGAAGACTCTTTACAAATTAGTTCTTAACGGAGATCAACAACCCGTTAGCATGCTGGCTATAGTAAGAGAAACAGAAAAGTTTGCTGTAATTAGTTGGGTATATACGCCACCAGATTCAAGAAGTAAAGGATTTGCAACTACTGCTGTTTATAAACTAACAGAACTAATACATAATACCTATCGAAAACAATGCATCCTTTTTACTGATAAATCAAATCCTGTTTCAAACAAGATGTATCAAAATATTGGATACCAACCAATAGCAGAATATCTAGAGATTGACTTTTAAACGGTTCGATTTCCAAAACTACTCCATACGCACGAAATTTTTCTTCGTGCATTCATACTGTGATTGACATTTTGCTCATACTCTATCAGTAAATACTTGAAGTATACATCTATCTTTTATTTTTGCGAAAGTAAATGTAAAATGTTTTTTTTGACAATGAAAATCTAATACTGTCATTATGTGTTACTGTTTTTTTAATTAAACAGAAGAAAATATAGTAGTAATAAATAAATGAAGAGCGGATGTCGATGTGAAGGTATGACAATAACGTACATTCTACATCCAAACCCACACCCTAGTTTTTCAAGTGCCATCTTTAATTTAACGCTGTTTTTGCTACGATATGAATTATACGAGAAGAAAAAGTTTCAACACTTTTTTTTCTCCGATTATAAAAGAGACGAAGAAAAAATGCTAATGGAATATTTTTACGTTCTGCACGCGACGCTGCTATACAACAAGTCGCTGTTGAGAATAATTTTATTTTTGTTTTTTACCCTTCACCTTATCGCTTACAAGCAGCACAAAAAAAACCAGTAGTTATCGTCAGTCTCTTCGTTGAATTCTATTATTTTGCAGTTGTCACAACAAAAAATATAACCATTATGAATCGCAACAATCGTTTTTCGAATAACCGAAAGAACCAACGACCATCAAAAAATGAGCCGGTGAAAACGGTTGCTGCTGTGCCAGAAAATTTCACGTATGTTGATCAAGATTTTCCATCACTATTTGTAGCATCGACAGTTGCAACCAAAGTTGATCCAAAATTGTCAACGGAAGTAAATATACATCATTCATTATCGGACTGCTTTATTCTTTTACTTTTCAAGGATAAATCAGTCAAGACAACTAGTCGCGAACCATCGATGACTCGGCCACGTAATAGATATTTTTTTTTCTTTAGATTTTAACTCACTTAATTTTCTTTAGTCGAAAATGTAAAACCTGAACCAACAATCGCGATTAAGAAACAACATAGTCCTTGGAAAAAACCATCAGAATCATTGCAACCTGTATCTTTATTAGCTTTTATGCCTCAATCGGTAACAAAACAAGATCTTACGACCAACCATCATTCAATTACACGTAAGCCATATTTTTACTTTAACTAACTACATTATAAATAAAAAATTTTAACTTTCTGTTCATAGATAATCCTGTCGCTCAATCTGAAACTCGATCTATGACAACTTATGAAGATGAAATCGATACTAAATTATGTGAAATTATTTTGACTATTCATCAACTACATGAATATGTCTCACTTGAACGTGTTGAGAAAGAACTCTTTGAACATTACAAAGTTAATTCATTTCGAGAGTTACGTGTCAATCCACGTCATTTGAAAACATTAACAAATCTTAGTCATCGCATTAAAGATGTCACCTTTTATATGCAAATATTTGAACAAATTTTCAATTTATGTACTTTACATGATCTTGATCCATTACTAGCTAAATTTCTTAAATTTGATACATATGAAGAGGCTCATTTAGGACCGTTAGATAAGAATCCCGATGTACAACGAGTATTTCAATATAAACCACGAAAACGTCATCAATCTATTCCAGACATAACTAGTGGACAAATAATAGATGCTTTTATTGCTTTTAAAGACAAACATCGACGTCATGAACGATACGATTATAATGGATTTATTGCTGAGCTTCTTCAACAAAACCAGTTACATAAGAAGGAAGAACTTGGTATTTATTGTAAATCATTTCCATATTTATCTGAAGTATGTATATATATATATATATCAAAATCAGATAGAACGAATCATGTTTCTGTTAATTGTCTTTAGATATCAGGCAAAGTAACTCAGGATTACAAAAAATATACGAAACGAGTTGAGACAGATGCTCAAAAACAAATTATTAGAACAGTCGAAACTCGGTTGTGGGAAATTCAACGTGAAGTATCTAGTGAACTCAATCTATCAGCATATATAGATAAATTACCTATTGCTGTTTTTGATCATCTTGTTTCAATCGTTGACAAACATTTAACTGTAACTCAACAAAAACTTGTTCGTGATACATTGATGGACATTCGAGACAATGAGCTTTTACGATGCTTATTAAATATTAGTATCTATTTGGGTACAATTGATCAGCCTGAAGAGTTCATTGCTGAATTGAAAAAAATTAATCAACACCAGAAGAAAGAAAGTGAAAGACAAGATTCCACAGCACTTTCTTCATCACATGTAACAACAAAATCTATGAATAGCAAGAACCAAAGAAAAGAACAACAACACATGGCTGATATACAGAATGTGAGTTTATCGAACAGTTAACCCTTAAGAGCCGAAGGGGGTTCCTGTGAAGTTCAGGTAGAATTAATCACATAAATAGATATTTTGGGCCCTCAATATGCACTTACCGTGGTTAGAACTGCTGGGTGTGACCAAAATTTTTTCCACCCAGATGGCCTGGGTGGAATATGACATTCATAATTTTTTGTGCGCTTGAGTTTCTAATATGGTTCAGAATTATTGTAAGTTCATTCTGATGATATTTTAACATATCTCCAATTATCTGTTGAGCGAAAAATTCACAATAATCGTGATTACTATACCCAAAAATGCCATTAAAATGGTACTTTTTTATAACGTCAGAATACCTTAGTAGAAGAGTTAAAAGGGTGCAAAGTTGTTCTAAACTATAGTTTAGGGTTATTTCTAATGATATCACTCAGAATCTATATTGTATATATCAGGATATATCAATATCCGAGTAACCAATTTTGCTTGGAAAATTATACATCCTAAGAGCTAGGTTTGGACGTTTGACAACTGTTTGATAACTGTTTTAGCATAATGTTGTTCCATCATACTTTCACTATGACTGTCTTCGTCCCTAAAAACAGTAGCTTTTTTAGAGAAGACTTTATTCCTTCGTTCTATAGCGTTTAATGCAATGTCCCTTTGAAGGGACATACGGCTCTTAAGGGTTAAGCTAAAATATCTTTTATTTATAGTCTGATACAACTACGGATCTAACACGTCCATCTATTGAAACATCGTTTGGAAATTCATCATCATCTTCAATTCAAGATACTCCACATGTATCTCTGAACCAACTTTGTTCCGACATGTTCAAAATTTTGATGCGCTACGATACAGTTCTTACTTTAAAACAATTATCGGACGTGAAAAAACATGTATGTGATCAGTATTCATTGGAAGATTTTTCTGAATTTGGTATTACTGATGATAACAGTCCACTTGATATGATTTCATTTCTAAATGTGCATCGTAACAAAATTGATCCAAATAAAGAATTAGCTATCTATGAAAGTATTTCATCGTCAGGAGATCGACATGAACTCTATTCATTTGTTAATCAACTTACAGTGATTAATAATTGGAGAGAACAACAACCAGGTGATCAATATTCAAGTAGTAGAGAAATTCCTTTGAGTAAAGATCAATTATCAGCTGTCGAAAAAGCGATTCAACACAAATTTAGTGGAGTACTTGCTAGAACAAGTACCTCTCAAATCATTAAACGAACGAAAAAACACTTTCATAATAAGCCGGCACAGTCAATGATTCGGTAAGTATTCTACAATTGATATTATTTTGTTCTCAATTTATTTCTATTAATAGTTTCGAAGAATCGTTGTTGGATGAAGTCAATCTCAATCGTCTGAACATGTGTCCATCATCACTTCTTGTTGATGAATCTCAACTATGTAAAATTATTCTTCAATGTCCAATTATGAATGATTTACCAACATGGTTGCAATGGTCACATTTTTTTCAATCAAGATATGGTCAATTTAAAATGTTCATTTCTCGAAAACAACAAGAGCTCGACGGTCTTCTCGTACTTGAAACATCTAATCATGAACTTTTACGTCTTCCAATCGATTCATCTTTTGAACAATTTGAAAATGAATTGAACAATGGAAATGTTAGTGCAAGTGTTGGTCATCTATGTTCTCTTATTATTTATGAATACGTTCAAGTTAATCGAATGCCATTGAATATTTATCGACAAGTAATGACTACGTGGTTTATTCGTCTTCGTTCATCTGCTCAATTACAACGTGATCAAAAAGAACCAATGCAATACATATTAGAGTTTCTCATATATTTACCAACTTTGATCGGTCAATCACGAATTGTTCAAGAATTAATATTAGATCCATTGGATGAAGTCTTTAGTAACAATGAAGATAGTGATGAGTTCAATACTCGAGAAAGAATTTGGATGTTAGCTGATCGAAAGCAAAAATCAAAATTAGAAGCATGGGCTTATCTACTAGATATTGATGAGTGGAAAAATGAGAATAAATGGAAAGGCATTGAAGAAATCGACATTCAACAACCAAATCATGATATACAAAACAAACAAACATATACTCAAGGTAAAGTTTACTTACAAATTCATGTAGTGAATATTGCTGACTTTTTGTTTTGTAGACATTATTGTGCCAACAAAAGTACAGCCGGATCCACTTTCAACTATTCCATCATCTCCAGTCGTCGTCACTGAACGTCTTATTCCAATAAATAACAATACAAACATAAATGACCCGAGTTCATGTTCTGCTGCATATGAACATATTAAGAAAATTCGTGAAGGATTCGGTGTTGATAGTAGTCTTGATGCTGCCGGCCAGTCAATTGTAAACAATCTTAAAGGAGTACTTGAACGAAGTTTAGAAAAATTATCAAATGATCTTTATTCAGATCAAGGTCATTTTGTTTTGGAATTAATACAAAATTCAGATGATAATCATTATTCATCCGATTGTTTACCTACATTACGTTTTATTGTCTCATCCGATCGTATTCTTGTTTGTAATAATGAAATCGGTTTTCAACCAGATAATGTCACAGCTATTTGTAATGTAGGAAAATCAACTAAAGGTAAACATAAACAAGGTTACACTGGACATAAAGGAATTGGATTTAAATCAGTATTTATGGTATCTCATCGTCCTGAAATTCACTCGGGAGATTATCATTTTTGTTTTGATACAGACTTAGGTAACGAAAAAATCGGTTATATTCGACCCATTTGGTTAGAACAATCCGAAGAACTTTTACCTTCAGTAAGTGATTGGACAACATGTATTCGTTTACCAATCAAAATGGAAGAACGTGGAATTGGATTGAAACGAAATTTTGATGATATTCATGCTCGTCTATTACTTTTTCTTAATCGTCTTCGACAAATTGAAATTGTTCGTGAAAAAGATAATCATAAAATAAATACTCGAATATTTACACGAATTGATCATGCTAATGGACAAATTATTGAATTACAAGAACGTACAACAACATCAGAAAATATTCTTCGAAGTTTTTGGCTTGTTGTTAAAACAACTAGTGAAATTCCATTGAATATAAAAAGACAACTTAATGATGTTAAAGGTGATATTCAATCGACAATCATAGCTATTGCTTATCCATTAGATGCAATTCATGAATCATCATCATATGCTATACTTCCATCTCAACCACTTTTTGCTTATTTACCACTTTGTTCATATGGTTTTCGTTTTATTCTTCAAGGTGATTTTGAAATACCAGCTACGCGACAAGGAGTTTTACGTGATAATATTTGGAATGAATGGTTAAAAAAAGAAATGATTCAACTTCTACCTACTGCTTATGATCTATTTAAAAATCTACCCAAACTTCTAACGACTTGTTCGATCGATGTACAAAAACATATTGGATCATTAGATTCAATGGAAACTTTAAAATATTTTATTAAAATGCTTCCAACTCAAAATGATCTCGATCCATATTTTAATTCATTTATTGATAAAGCAATTAAAGGATTAATGGGATGTATTCAACTACCGATTATTTCTGAGAAAGATCAAGAAAATATTCAATGGATTTCTCCAACACAATGTGTTTTTGTTCGTGATTCATTTATACGACAAATTTTTACATCTGATTTACTTTTATCACATTTTAATAATTATTATTTAAATGAACAATTTGTAAATGAATGTGATGAAAATATTTTAATTAAATTAGGTTGTCGACGATTAGATTTTTCAACAATTTTGAAATTAATTAAAACATTATATACTCAAAATGATCAAGAATATTCAACGAAAACAACAACAATTGAACAAAGTTTGATAAATTTTGTCTTGAAAATAAAAAAGAAAAGTATCGTTTTTTTTATTTTAGTTGCACAATGGTTTCTATGTATTGATTATAGTTTTCAACAAGAACGAGATCAACCTGATTTTAATTACAATGATAATGATCAAAATGAAATAACAACTATGGATCAACTTAAACAAATGAAAATAATTCCATTACAGCAACAAACACGATTAGTATCAATTGAAGAAATGAAAGATAAAGCAATTTTTTTTCCATTAGATAAATCAACTGAATTTGCTAAATATCTCAAACTTGTTGCAGAAGGTTTACCAACAATTGATGAGAGATTAATGGAATATATTGAAAAGAAATATCCACGACGTTTAAATTCAATTAAAGATTTATTGAAAAAATTAGGTAAATTTATTATGATTTACACTGAAAACGCCGAAAGAAAAATTGTCGGACGACAAAAGATCGACACAACATTCATCGACAAAAATAATGGCGATCGAGGGCAGTGTCGAAAACTTTGAGATGTCATCATTAAGGGTGTGGGTGTCAGTGTAGATAGAATAAAAATAAAAACGCCGACTCCCACCCACATCTTCAGCCTAACCTTCACCCATACCCACACTCTCACCCAGTGGCGTAAATAGGGGGGGGGGCGCATAACCCCTCCTGCTTCCGAAAACTAATAGGAAAAAGGGGTTTGCGCCCCCCCCTGCTTCTAGAAAGTTCACTTTTTTTTACCATTGAAATTGAAAAACTAGGGCTGCGCCCTTCCTACACCCCCCCCCGCTCTGACACCTGACTTACGCCCCTGCTCTCACCCACGCCCACACCCACACCCTCAAGAAACTGTTTCTTTGTTTTAGGTATAAGTGAATTTCGGCAAATCCGAAGAATTTATGCAAATCATGTATTACCAATTATGGCGGATGAGATGCAATGGAAAACTAAATCTGATTCTGTTCTTATTGCTTATTTAATTTTTATTTATAAAGATCTTTATTCGCTTAATCCTGCAGAGTTTGCAAATGATATGAAAAAATTAAGAAATCAATTAATTATTAAAACACAACAAGGTAATTTCATTCGTATAAATTCAAATGAAACAGATATTGTTCATTTAACATCATTATATGGAAGTCAAACATCACTTGATTTATTAAAATTATTTCCAAATCGTTTTCAATTTATTTCAAATGATTACTTAATTGAATATCAAAAGGAATTGTTTTATCATGCTAAAGAACGACTAAAATTCAACTATTTTCTTAATGAACTTGATCTTCATGGTTTTTTTCTTATTAAAAAAAAAGATGAAAGTTAGTTTATAGATATAAAAGTAAATATTAATTAAAATTAATTTATTTATTAGGATTTATTAAGGTTGAAGAACTTGTTAATACTCAATGGAGTTCAGAAATTCAAACATTATCTTTATTAATTTTTGAACCATTTATTATTGAAGATAATTGTTCTGATGAATTAGATACACTTATTATGTCCAAAGATAGTCTTAATGCAAATCAATATTTCGAAATTCTACGTTATTTAGATTATACTTTTAAATTCTTTGGATCGTATTATGCATCATCAGTTATTCGAGCTCGTGATCGACATACAGGCGCGACAGCACCAGTTCATGGTGTTGCTTCTTCACTTTGTTTATCATTAAGAAAACATTCGTGGATACCTGTTTCTGATGGACAGTCATACAAACCATCTGATGTTTATTATTTACCCGTAAATAATCCATTTCGTCGATATGTTCCATGTTTAGATCCATCAATTGTTCGATTGAGTGATATGAATTTTGTTCAAATACTAGGATTTAAACAAGAAATATCTCATATGACAATGTTTGAATTATTGATGAAATGGTCATGTAATCTTGATAGTGATATGTTATGGAAATTAATCAATATGACTGATGAACAAGACTCAAATCCGTAAGTTAATAATTATTATCATACCAGCTGATATACCATCTTGAGGGTGGATGTGAGTGTCTTTGCTATTACAGAGACCAAATGCATAAAGAATAGACAAATACTCTTCTTTATATGTATAGATTAATAGAATATTTTCATTTCTTATCTAGAATTCCATGTACAATTTCAACACAACCACGTCAATTATATCATGATACACTTCAAAATATTCAAAATATATACTTGTTTATATCTATGGATGAAGAAATTCGTCGTCTTCTTGCTCGTTTTCGTCTGTGGCCGCTTATATTTATTCCACGAACAGATGATATTGGTGAATTTGTATTCGTTGATGAAGTATTCTGGGAGGATCCTCTTGCTTTATTAACTACTATTGATGTTAAAACACGCACATCAAATCAACACATTGCACTACAACCATATTATAATAATAATAAATTTTTTCAACAATTCTTTTTCGAGATTCTTCAAATAAAACAAGGACCAACACTTGATGATTATCTTTTATTATTGAGTGATATTAAAAAGAAAACATTTGATTATATTTGGAAATGTATTAATGTCATTACACAATTAGCATTTACAGATAATAAGCAAACTTTAGTGAAAGGTATAGAAAGATGAATAAATATAATCTATACTAAATTATCTACATTTAGATACAACGATTAATTGGTCATTTATTCCTTGTATCAACAATGGAAATGAATTGGTTAAATATACTGATCGACCCTATTATCCTCATGATATGATTGTTGTAGATCTTTTCTCTGATGTTATACGAATTATTAAATTACCAGGTATATTTGAAAGAAAAGAAAATGACCATTGTAATAGAATATTTCTTTTATCTTTAGACAATTTGATTCATTCAATTGAATTTAAACAACAATTCTGTACACTTTTTAATATCGATGATCTAGCTAATGTTATTAAAGTATTAGTTAATGTTGATAATAGACAACCAGCAAGAGAATTACATGAATTTTATAGTCATTCAATTGAACTTATTCAGGATTATCTAATCAGTAATGGACTCTTGCCAGAAACACGATCTTGTTGTCTTCAATCAATCTTCTCAAAAATGAATTTTCTTTTAGTTGATTGTATTTATCTATCCTATCAATATGGAGAGAATCTGATTCGTAAAGCTCCTCTACCATCAACTCTAAACAGCTATATCGATGAATCAACAAGCAACTTTTATATTTTACAAAAATATGCCAAGAATGAAAACTATCATATTGATACTATCGTAGATTATTTAATTGAAGATGTATCAGCTCGTTTACAACTTTCTCAATTTATACAAGAATTATATAAATCATATGAACAACATGGTGTAGAAAATTTAATTAAACAACGAGAAATACTCCCTGATCATAATATATCTAAATGGATAATTCCACAAATAATGAAGAGCGAACTAAATTCTTCATCGATAAAAGAAAAAGAAAAAGAAGAAGAAGAGGATGACGGAAATAATGAGATCATTACGTATACACCTGAAATGTTACAAAGATTCAAAGATGAACCTGGTTGGCAGCCGAAAAAGCCTACCACTAAACCAATATTAGATCCAGATCAACCAAAACCACTCATTTGTATTCCATCCACAGCCGGTGCAACTCTTTCGAACGAAGCTTTGAATAAAGAGCATTCAGCAAAATCCGACCTACAATTAACAGATGTAGTTAGAGAAAGAGCAACATCAGCCAATGTTCATGAGAGCAGTGAACAAACAGTACCAAGAGACAGAGAGAAACATTCTAATGGTAAGAATAAAGACATTCAACATTATCCTAGTAGTTCGTTGATGATAAAAATGTATTCTTAATTATAATTCTTTTCTAGAAACAACTACAACTAATAAAACTTTTGAAGGATCGACTGTATCTCATACTAACTCTGTTACACTCGCTGATTTCACTCCACCACAGCCATCCATCAACTTCGAGCTTATTCAAATTTCAAATTTTACCGATATTGCTTTAATTCCTACTACATTATCTGATCAAGCATTGCCTACTAATTTAAATCTACCTAATAATGAAACTGATTCTATAATTGGTCGTCGAGGTGAAGACTTTGTGTATCGATATCTTCTATGGAAGCATCCCGATGCACAAATTCAATGGAACAATCAACAAAACGAATCAGGTCAACCATTTGATATTAAATTGATTCGAAATGAAAATAAGAAGCAAACCGAATTTATAGAAGTAAAAACAACTCGAGTACCTAAACAAAATACTTTTCAAATATCGATTGGTGAAATTGAATGTTTACTTCAAAATCAAAATAATTATTATATTTATCGAGTTTATTATAATGATGAAGACGAAAAATTATCAACAATTACTATTCTCAGTCGAATTAAATGTCATTTACAACAAAAACAATTGACACTATCAATAACAATTGCAGAAAAACTTGATGAACAATGATTTGTTTTTTTTCCTATATCTTTTTTTTAGTGTAGTGTGTGTGGATGCGCCTTCGTCAACTACACCGGCATCCGCAACCATATTCATAAGATGTTTTCGTATTTTATGAATATTCAAATAATTTTAGTGTCTTAGATTACAATAAAAGAATTCTAATTTCTTTTCTTTGACAAATTTCTAGTAGAGATGAAAAGGGAATTACTGATAAATTTATAACAAAATAAATCTACAAAAATTAATTTAAGATATAATGGTTAATAGAGAGTGTGGGTATGAATTCTATATACATCACATATTCACACGCTTCTTTTAGTGATAAACTTAAGGTCATGAAGATATCTAAAATCTAATTAATATAAACTGTGTCAAGTATAATTGCTAATTTTTTCATATGAATTAATGATTGCTTTAATGTTGCTGATATTAATTCTGATCATTGTTTGGTTTGTTTATTGGTGATTATTTGTCATTGTTATTATCAGTTGTTGTTTTTTATTTTATTTTGTGTATATGTAAAGAGAGAGCTTATTGTGTTGTTGTTTAACTATTGATTTATTTTATCTCCCTGACCATCATTTGATGTACTGTTCTCTCAAAATAATTAATTTTAATTATTCATTTTACATTTTCTTCATCTTGTTTCGATTGAAAATCAATTATAACTTTATTGGGTGTGAGTCCCACGCCTATCCACGTTTTTAACCATTTCTTATTCTGAACAAAAAACACACACAAGCATCGAATTTTAACTTCGTCAATTTTTAATATGATCATGATAAATGCTTTTCAAGATGAACGTGCAAATTCATTATAACTTATACTTGGTAGTGTTGGTTACATTTCTTTTTTTAGTATGATTATTTCCTTCATGAATTACTTTCATTTTCTTTTAAAACCTTTTGCGATTACTATTTTACTTTTATGTTATATTGTAACATTATGTACTCTTTATTTTAGTCGTTTTTTTTTCTGTTTTTTTCATTCTATTATATTATTTTTCTTTTCTTTATCGGTGAGGAGGGGAAGTATTCTGGTATGATGTATCTCTTGCCAAAAAGAATGCTGATTCTCTTTCATTTCCTCACGTACTACTGATATCGTTGAGTATTTAAGAAGTGAATATTGTGAAGAGAGGGAAGATTTTTGTTGTATGAAAGAAGAAAAATAAAGAACAAGAAAGAGCGATAACAACGAGATCAGACACTAAGCGAAAAAACAAATTATTATTCGCATTTGATGTGATATTCGTAGCGATAGCAGATCTATCGTCACTTTGTTTTTTGTCAATATCAATTTAAATATCATTATTTTGTGTTCTCTACTACCGTTCGCCGTCGTCGACTATTTCAAATTCACGACACATAAATTGTTTTGCTGTTCTGTTCGACTCATTCTCCAAAAATTGGAGAAGAAATTAATTCTTATTTCACTTCCGTCCTTCTTCTGACTAAGATCAAATCATGACACTGTATTTCTGTTGGATATATAAAACCTGTTAACAACACTTGAATGTGCAATCTAATCTTTCGTTTCTCGCTTTTTTCAGATACACTATACACACACGAATTCAATGGCGGATGCAAATCAATCTCCACTGGTAGTGGTGGTTTCAGGAGGAGGACCTGTGGGATTAACATTCTCTCTAAACCTTGCCATGATGATGGGTGAACATGTGAAGATTATTATCTATGAGGGTCGTTGGTTTGTTGATGAAGACAGCATCACACGCTGGCAAGGTGAGGAACAAGGAAAAACACGTCGAGATCAAGTGGTGACCTTGCAAGATCATGTTATACAGCAAATGCCTCCTTACATTCAGAAAGGTCTTTTTCAGAATTATGATGAACGTGTATGGCCAACATCACGAAATATTCCTATTCGGGAAGTGGAAGATCGACTCTTTGCCTTGATTCAACCATTCGTACAAAATGGACAAATCGAATTAGTTCCTGAAGCTTTACAAGAACAAACCGAGCGTCTAATTAAAGGTATGTGAATTGACTAGTGTTTCGGATAATATCTTATTTGTATTGCAGGTAATTTTGATATGTTGATCGGAGCAGATGGTTCAAATTCCTTCGTTCGCCGTTACTGTAACATACCCATGATTAGCGAAGGAGTTGAATATGCGTGTGGTGTCGCTTATCAGATCCCAGCACACGTCCCAGCGCCGGAAGAGCCATTACATCAAGCTCTGAACTGTGTGTTAACTGTCGCTCAAACTCGATATTTAGTGAATTCATCGTCTAGTCGTCGTGGTTATTTAAATATTCGTCTGATACAAAGCGAATACGAGGAACTGCGTGAACGCTTACAAGAGTTTCAACATCTCAATGAACCATTGGACTTGCTAGATGTAAATAAGTGTCCGAACTCATCACTCGTTTGGACGATCGTTCGACAAGGTTTGGAATTCTTTAAAATTTCTCCCAAGTACGTCTTTCGTGTGGTGCCCATCGAAATCAACGTTCGACATGCTTCTATTGTTGTGCGAGAACTTCGCTTTGAAATTCAAGAAGATAAAGATGAAAAAGCGTCGTCTGTACCAAAAGCCGGTGGACGAAAACAATACAAAACAGCGTTAGCTTGTCTCGCTGGCGATGCGGCATTGAATGTTCACTTTTGGCCCGGTCGTGGCATGAACAGTGGAATGAAGGCAGCCATGGCTCTCGCTCGAAACATTGTTCATTCGTGTCGAACCAAAGCGTCGCCGGAGACCATCACTGTTCGTCGACCTCTTCGTTTTCTTGATTTTCTGGACTATGAAGGTTTTATGGCTCGTCTTCGCGCGAGAGAACAGCAAGGCAGATCACTACGTGTTCTCATCGATCCAATCGATCAAAGTGTCGTTGATTCGTATTCTTATGCGGGTGTGGGTCACTGTCATGTGAAATATACGAGACGATTAATTCGGAAGTTGCAAGATATGCGCGAGCGCCTTCAAGAACGAGCTGATTGGCCTCATCAAGACCGACCAATTATCGACGAAGAACTGCAACGTGCTTCCAATCGAATTTCGCCCAATGCCGTCGCTCAGCTCTCATTAGCTAATCCATGGCCTACGCGGGAAATGGGCGGCATCGATGTTCTCGTCGAAGATACCTTTCCATTCAATCCGAAGAATTTTGTTGAAGTTCCGGAACTGAAGAAAAATCCACTTACGCATACACCCAGCATTTTAGTCCAGCAGCGTTTCCTTTCATTGTGGATCGTTAATGAGCCAATGACCAAAGATGTCGAAACGCTAGTCGATACCGTTGGCAACTTACCTAAAGAAACGTTCATTGAGCTGGCAGTTGTTCACACCATCGAACAAGCGACAGAATGGATGAATGTAAATCGTAAATCGC